GGAAAGGTAATTTTTAAATAGCCATTGGATACTGTGTGAGAGGTTTTTAGAATTGATGTGACGAATAATCAGAATATAAAGAGTTAACATTAATAATCTCACTTGTATAAATAACGATTACCAATTAAATAGAATGGATATAAATAGTGAGAGAAGTAGGTAATATTAATAAGGCACAATTCAAGTGGCAAGCAAATGGATAATCAAAATCCAAACGGATATAGCTTTTGATATTGCTTTATGTGTAAGTGAGAGAGTTTTGAGAGATAATGTTTAGAGGTTTTGTTAAGAATTAAAAAAATGAAATCTCCTCACATTGACGTAAAGTTGGTATATGTAGTGAATTAGATATGATCCTTAATTACTAGCACCTTGCCACACCATCCTTGTTTGGAGAAGTAGGTCTTCTTTTAAAGGATGCTGCTTTGATTCTACTAAAACAATATTTCCAATGCATTTCAAAAACAAAACATGGACACTAGTCCTACTAAAATAGTCATATCTATCTTTGCAAGGTCCAAAATCTTGTGTTAGATAAAAAAACTCATCATCAGTTCAATTAATTTGTTATGCCATTTGGACTTATGCCAAAACTAATAAAAATTGTATGGATTGATATATAATAAAATTAACTAAATTATTAATAATTTTTTATAAACAAATTAAGCATATTTGTTTTTTCTATACGGATAGCCTTGCTAATAATGGTGTTGGTGCAATTATGTATGGTGAGAAGAAGAAAAATAAAGTTAGAGCAAATAACTTAACGATAAATAAGGTAGACTTGCCATGAGTCTTTTATCGCATGCTAAATAATTATTGAATGGTACGACGAGTTAGTCGTGAGGCTTTTGATGCACATAAAATAAATAGTAAAAGTTTACGAGCTTACTAAGAGATATTAGATCTAAATCAATAAAAGGCTTGAAAAAATGGTTTTTTAGAGTGAATTTTGATTTTAAAAACAACATTTGACTAGTTCCAAATTACTAGTTGTAGATCTCCGAATAAGTTTTCTAAATTGGTAAGATTTGCATCAAATGGACAACCAAATTAAAAATTAACTAAGTAGTGCGTGCATATCTTTTTTTTTTTTTCTATTGGCCGGCTCTTGCCATCGGCCATCGTCTAGAATCACTTTTTTTTTTTTTTTTTAAGGTGGCCAGCGATGAATCGCTAGCCAACTCTTATTAATGTTTGCTTACCCATTTTTTTCTTCTTCTTTTGTGGCCAGCCTTTGTTGTTGGTTAGAATCGCTGGCCGACATTAGCTACTAGTTGGCATTGTGAGCTAGCACTCAACAATCAATTCCTTTTTCTTTTCTTCTTCCTTGGTGGCCAACACTTGTTTTTAGTTAGCACTCGTTGGCCAACATTCGGTGCGTGTGCTTGTTTTTTCTATCAACAATTTTTTTTATAAAAAATTAGCTAAGTGTATTGATTTGTCAAAATATAGTATGACCATCACTTATTTTGGTAATCGGATTTGCTCAAAAAATTGACTAATTATAGGTGAAGAACTTACTTGATAGGCAAGTAGCCCTCTAGTATGTCATGGTAAGCTTCTGTCAACTACTTTTTAAAAAAAAGAAATTATCCAAGTATAAGTGGAGAACTTACTTAATAGGCGAGATAGCATCCCGAGTGCCATGTTAGATGTCTTGTCACCTGTCAATTCTTTATTAAAAATTTGATGAAGTATAAGTGAAGAACTTGTTTGATAGGTAGGTAACCACCCGAGTTTCATACCGAGTGCCCTGTCACTTGGCATTTCTTTATGAAAAATTTAGTTAAGTATATTGACTTTCTTTTTATTTTTCGGATCGATAAGATTTAGTAGGAAAGCAACCTCTAAGTGAGGAGATATGTAAGTAGAAAGTTTGTTTTGGTCGGAAGATAACCTTCAAGTAAGAAGACATATTAGTAAAGAATTTATACTTGACGGTGATAATGATCTTATTAAGTAGAATTTCAAGAACAATGCGTATGTGAATTAGTTTTAAAATTACTAGTGTCTTGAAGGTCATTCTTTTGGAATGACTAGGAGCAATATAATAAACATGAATGCCAAACTCTTCTTCTCCCAACTCAACAAAAAATGTGCAATTGATCACTAAAAATAGAAACACGATGACGTAATTATTATTTTTCATAGCCGTATGGTGAGTTCGATGGTGGGATGTCTTCCTTATCATTAAGTTAAACATGTGATATTGGATCATCTTCTACATTAATAGCTAGTGGCATCATAGTTTGCAGGATAACGATCTTGTATGTGAGTGAGAGAGCTTTGAAAGAGAGTGTTCACATGTTTTGTTAAAGTTTAAAAAATCAAAATCTCTCACAATGATGTAAGGTTGATATTTATAGTAAATTAAAGAAAACTCTTGACCATTAGGATTATGCCATGTCATTCATATTTAGACAATCAAATTTGAGTCAAAGAAAGTTAGTTTTTTTCTTAAGTTAAAACTACTTCAACTTGCTAGAAAAAACTAAAAAAAAAAAAGTAACCAATCAAAATTAGGATTAACCAATCAATAATAATTAACACATAAATAATAAACACACGAATCATAATCAACACACGATTTTTACGTGAAAGCCCTCGGTATATGAAAAAATTACGAAACCGTAGTCGACTCAAATTCTTCTAACTATATCAAATAATAAGATATGAGATTCTTTTCTAATTCAACTAGAGGATAAATATTAAAGCATCAAAATCATTATTCAAAAGTTAAACATAACAATAATAAAGAAAAGAGATAGATCTCTCCAAATATTTTTTTAAGAAATATTCAAAAATAAAAACTTATCAATGATCAATACCATTTACATTGAAGATAGCATCGTCGAAAATAACATGTTAAAATTTTATCTTAATCGAAATTGAAATTATCATATGATCAAAAGAATAAAAGTGAAAAACACATATTTTCACCTCTCTCTCTCTCTCTCCCAAAACTTCATTCTCTCATTTGTTATTGTTATTTGCCAATGCTATTATTATTATTGTTGTTGTTATTATATATATTCACATCATAAATGATTTTAGTTTAGAAAAAGTTTGCTCTCACTTTCTTCTTTTTTCCCCCTTATTTATGTTGGTGTTAGGATCCACACGAGGAAGAATTCAACCCAACACCCTATTCTAATTATAGATTTTTTTTTTTTTTGGTAAATTGATCGATTTATACGAGAGGATAAAAGTGAATGCAGTAAAAAGGAAGACAAGAGTAAAAATTAAATCAAAATTACCTTGTTTTACGGTATTCTTACCATTTTTGTGGAAGGATTTTGAATAGTAAAAAACGTATTCAATTTTAGTTTTTTATAATTTGTTAAACTGGTTAGCGTATTGGTGTACACCCATTTATTTATTTTATTTTGTTTGCTTTAACATGGTAGTTAGATGGGACTGGTACTAATAGGTATGTCGGGTGGTTCGGTTTCTGTTGCCATCGTACTGCTGTAAATTGCAAAAAAATTCAGAAGATGAACCAATCATGTATCATCTGAAAAGAACTTCATTTGTTTCCGTAGAAATTTAATCACCTGCATAAGCATACATTAGCAAAGCTTATAAACAAATAAACACACGGTTATAATCAATACATAATTTTTATGTGAAAAATCCTAGTATATGAAAAAATCACAAGATTGTAATCTACTTAAACTCTTCTAACTATATCAAATAATAGTATATAAAATTCTTTTCTAATTCAACTAGAAGATAAACATTAAAATATCAAAATCATTATTCAAAAGTTGAATATAACAACAACGACAACAAAGAAAAGAGATAGATCTCACCAAATAGATTTTGGAGAAATATCAAAATATAAAAACTTCTCAACGACCAATGCCGTTTAAATTGAAGATAGTATATAGTCACATTATAAATGATTTTAATTTAGAAAAATTTGCTCTTTATTTCTCTTTTGTTTCTTTTTTTTTCCCCCTTATTTATATGGATGCTAGGACTCTCATGAGGAAAAATTCAACCCAACACCTTATTCTAACTATAGACTTTGTTGTAAATTGATTAATTTATACGAGAGGATAAAAGCGTCTGTGACAAAAAGGAAGACTAGAGTAAAAATTAAATCAAAATGACCTTATTTTACAGTATTCTTACCATTTTTGTGGAAGGGTATTCAATTTTTGTGGGAGGATTTTGAATAATAAAAAGCCTATTCAATTTTAGTTTTTTATAGTTTATTAAACTAGTCAAGGTATGGGTATCCACCCCATTTATTTATTTATTTATTTTTGATTTAACATGATTTTTAGATGAGACTGGTACCGATAGGTACTTCAGGGGTGGTTCTATTTCTGTTGCCACCGTACTGCTGCAGATTGCAAAAAATTCAAGAGATAAGCCAATCATAGAATAATATTTATGGTGAAATTATTACTGCATAAGAATAGAAAGTATTTTGGTAGATGGCATCCAATGTAAATGGTGCTTCATCTAATTTGTACCAGAAAATTGCAACCCATTTATATGCATTGATGGGCAAAAAGCAAAGGACAGAAACCTAATCATCACTACAGTGCATCTCATTGAAGTTCGATAATGAGTGAAGGGATAGAGGTAGATGTACATAAATTTCCAAGACGCTGTTTTTACTCTTGGAAGAAGATGAAGTATCTATGGTCGCAAAAGCGAAACAAACCAAAACCTGTTGAGACTTTGCATCAAAATTGAACCTTTGTCCTTTTGCTTTCTCATAAAATTATGGACATGCTAAAAAGTTTTGCAGCATATATCATCTGAAAAGATCTTCATTTGTTCCGGTAGAAATTTAATCACCTGTATAAGCATACATTAGCAAAGCTCATAGGCAAAAATCTGAAGAAACTCTTCCGCTTATTAAGTTCAAACTTAATGTAAAAATATGTACATAATCTTCGAACAAGCTGCAGATAATTAATTTATATATGCAAATGAAAAACATAAGAACAACTAATAATGTTTCCAAAACAAATTACAGACTAGAAAATTCTTTGCAGACTGTTACCGTATAGCGCAGATAACAAGAAAAGAATCTCTTCATCACTCCCATCATACTCTATCTGATTTTGCATTCGATCATACTTGGCTACGATCTCATCTGGCAAAACCTTAGCCCTGCAAAGTGGGCATGTAGCCAAGCATTGTTGTAACCATCTGTCTAAGCAATCTTTGTGGTATGTATGCTTGCATTTCAATTTCCTAACACGTTCGCCTTCCGAAAATTCTGACAAACATACTGCACATTCCATTGAATCTTGCTGCCTCATCAATTTTTCACTGTAAGAAATTGTTGGATTTTTCTCTTCTATGTAGTTAAGGTACTGAGTGGTGCTAATAATTGGTTTTTCGGACTTTAAGGTAATTCCGATGACCGACCGGACTAGAATTACAATTTCAAGGAGTATAAGACTGAGGAAGACTACGGTCATGGTATAGAGGTGAGAGAAGAATTGAGAGAGAGAGGCCATGGCTGCTGCTAATGAACAAGTTTCTGTTCTTTTTTTTTTTTTGGATCAAAAGTGTTCGTATGTGTATAACTATGGAACTTTATACCATATAGGATATGTATGATATGATGCCACACTCAATGTGGTTAGGTGCAGTTCATTAGGGTTTGGTACATTTAATGTTCACTTTCGAAGTTGTGGAGAATGCATGTCACCCAACTAAAGTGGTGACATGTGGAATTCAGGTAATATATTAAAGGATAGAATAATTCAAGAAATATATTAAATGATAGAATTAATTATCCTCTTCTTTTAAACTAAAATAAAATAAAACGATTCTTTATATTTAAATTTTTAGTTTGATATGGTTTTTTGACATGATACTGATAGTTCAAATTTTGCTATTTTTATTTTTTAATTAATTAAATATAAAATAATGTGAATTGGTATACGTTTCAAATGTAAAAAACTTTCATTTGAAGAAATTTATTAAAATAATATAAAATTATTTTTGAGGTTTTAATTATTAGCTTAATTTTTTAGGTTGATATTTTTTTTTTTTGACGATTTCAACTGAAAAGGATATGGGAATAATATTCAAAGAAAAAAGAATAATATTCAGGAAATTCTGACTATTTGATTATTGAACTTGACTGAATTAATGTAATTCAAAGAAGCGGAAGAAACCAAGATGGTAAGAAATACTTCGTAGATCTTACTTGAATTTTTTAAGTCATAAATCAACCAGAGATGTTGAAAATTATGGGGATTTCATGACAAAACCATAAGATCCTCAGCAATGAAGTCAGTGCTGCTAAATTCATGAGCATAGAAAAAGAGTGGTAGAGAAGTTTATAAAGCACCTGTGACATTATCATTATCTTTTGCATAATAATTTTGGTCCAATACGTTTGCGTCAATATGATGATAAATGTCAATTTATGTGGGCCGGCGATGTTGCTTCTTTTGATTCTTCTTGCAAAGGAGGAGTAATATTCACTTGTTGAGGCACATCATTGCCTTCCCTGCTGCTTTTTCTTCACTTGCCACTCGATCGATAGAGACTTTCTTAATCATAAAAATCGACTGTACATCTAGATGCACCGCATTGAATTTTCTTTTTATCAAAAGTATGTATTAAATTGAATAAAATATTATGTGCATGGAAAATTATGTTTTTGAAAGATAATTTCTTTGTTTCTAGAACCCATCATGCCTTTAAATGATGGCCATTTTAAAGGAAATCGAAGTACACTTACGTGGCTATTAGGGTTATGATATTGTTAACCATAATTTAGTCGTAATTTTACTAGTATCTATATCTTCGGATTCAAATCTCTTTTTAATAATAAAGTAAAAACAACTTTATAAGTATTGATATATTCAAATTCAAATCTCTTTTTAATATTAAAGTAAAAAAACAACAATTCACAATAACAATTATTATTATTATTAATATTATAGAACGAAAATAGCCTCTATTGACTATTATTATGAAAATAAAACTTTTATATCATTTTACCAAATTGTCGTTGTTGTCTTTTATTATTTAAAAGTGATTGGCACTCTTTGATAATTTTAAATCGTGTTAATTTTTATTAATTTGTTTGGAAGTTTGGTTTTCTCCATAATACATAAAGGTATTAATATGGATTGTGGATGAAATTGAAAGAAAGAAAAAAATCTCATTTTAGACAATTTTTTTTTAGGAAATTCCAACAAGCTTTTGTTAAAACCTATAAAGAGTCTAATAGCTATTTCCAAAGTTCCAGCAAGCTTTTAGTTTTTACAAACAAGATGCAGATTTATGAAGAAACACACTAATATTATTGGCTAAGAATTGAAATTGAAATTTTGAAGAGGAGGAAGTGGGGATTTGAGAATTGGAAGAGGGAGAGGTAGGAGTTACCTCTTTTGTGAATTGTGACAAAAAAAAAAAAAAAAAAAAAAAAGCCAAAATATTTTTGAAGAATTATGGATGGCGTCTAAAACTCTTTATTGAAAAGAAAATAATATTCCATGTCATGGATTTGGGCATGACAAAAGCTATGACATGAAAACATTCGCCGTATACTTTTCAAACTCGGAATTTATTAATAGTCCACAACATTGGGTATGACATTGACCCAAAGTTGTCCGGAGGAGTCCACCAAAAGCTAAATACATGGATTCGGTGAAGATTTTCATCAAGCTAAAAGCAATGGCAGTTGTTGTAAATACAAAAGAAAGTAATGGTTTATTGATAAATCGAGATTTGGCTCAAGCTATCGAGGGCCAGACTTTTAACATGGCCCTCTATCAGCCCAGATTCTAATATTTAATGGAATCGGCCTGATTGCTAGACCTAATGGACCTATTAATCAGATACTGTTAAGAAGGCCCATTGAAACTCCCTGGACCCATGAAAATCCCGTTCAATGCGAGAAACAATGTACGATTGTCTGCCTATCTTGATTCTGACTTGGGCTCTGTTTGGTAGGAGGGATGGATGAGATAAATTGAAAGGATAGAAAAGGAAAAGGATAGTACGGATTACCATCTGGGGTTAACAAAGAAAGGAAGGAAAAGTCAATCCATCTAATTGAGCATAAAAGATTAAAAATGAGGAAAAAGATGGAAGCTAATTCATTCAACTAAAATTATATATTAAAAAAAAAAAAAAGAAATAGTAGGACGAGAGCTAATATGCTTACATTGAGAGGATTGAAAATTACAAATAAAGAAGGATCGAAAAGTTCCGAAGGATTTCTTCAATTCTTTCTTAGGTCCTTATTTTCCTTTTTTCACTAAAGAAATAATATATCAAATCTCTTCCCCTTTATTCAACCTCCTCCAATTCCTCATGAAAAATAAATTACAAGGATTTCTATAGGTTTAGGATTCAAAATTAAAAAAAATGTGCAATGATATTTTTAGGAATGAGAAAATATTTATATGTTAGAGAAGAGATAAAGTTGTGTGTTCCTATATGAAGTGAGACAATTAGCTGCTAATTTCATAAATCAGATCGACAAGATAGAAGTCTAAAAAGACAAACTCTTAGTGGCAAGTCATAATTTTTTATCTAGCCTAAAAGGACAAATGCTTAGTGGTTGGGTCATAACTTTTATTTAGGTGTGTGATTGATGCAAATTATATCAATCAATAAAATTAATTAAGAGATTCACAACATGATTTATTGTTATTGCCATTAGAGATAGTTTTTTAGATCAAAATTCACTCAAAAACTCATTATTGGGCCCTTTTATAATCTAGACACAAATAATAACCTCATATGTATTCGGATGTTAGCTTAATTTAAAAAATAATAAATTTAGTTTTAATTGATGTGAAAGTTGATGCGAAGATACTCCAATATATATATGGGCTCATATTGCTGTTTAGGAATTATAATTTTTTTATATTTATATTTGTTTTATTCATGTTTAGATTTTAATTATTTTTAGATTTATTGATAATTTACTAATTTTTTATTTCGTCTTTAGTTGTTTAGATCATTTAATAAAAACTAGAAAATTTTAAGGTTTTATCTACGAATTTATTGTTGTTTTTCTTGTTAGGGTTTTTGACAATTACAAATCTCGTAATAGTGTGTGTGTGCATACTCCATGTAAAACTGTACAAGTATTCACGTACGTAGACTATCAATGGAAGACTAAATTGCATCATCCTCTTAAAATTTACTTCATCCGAGCTTGATAAAAAGTTTAATTAGGCCGCATACTGCATGCAGCTTGAAAATTTTGAGAAGTGATTCAGTTGCCATCACTGATTAGGTTCAGAACATTTAGATAGAAGAGGATAGGCTAAAACACTTATGCTTTGAAAATTGAATGGAGATCGCTTCCAATTGGGTAAACGGCAGCTTAGATGATCATGTAACTTTATATTAGAACTTGATAAGTGAAGAGTATTATATTTTCCATTTATAAGTCTCCAAACTGAGTTGGGTCATTAGTATAATGGCATTATAGATTTCATATTCACTAGGGAACCACAGATTGGTCCATGATCCAGTCTGTGCTATGATTTAAAATGTTTGCAACTTCAACAGCTTTTTGCGAAAGTTCTCCACCACAAATGGCATCTTTCTCTCCATCGTCACAACACTAATTAATAAGAAAATTTATCCTGAGCCACTGCATGCAAGACTTTATTATAGACTATAGAGATGTGGTTGTCATTAGCATAAGCTTTGGTGACCTTATTGTTTTTATGGCATTAACATTGCTATAATTATAATTTATAAAACTTAATTATATTGTAGCAATGTCATAAGCAAAGTTATTTTGGCACTTCTACAGTATTTTTTTTTTCAATATTTCAAGATATCTTAGATCTAAAAACTTAGATTAATATTTTATTGTTATATCCGATGTACAAAACAGGAACATATATTTCAAGAATTTTTTGTATTTAGAAGAATTCAAATTTAAGATTATTTGTTTAAACGATTAGAGACTATTCCCCTCAAATCAATCATCTTAAATACTTTTACAATACTTTTTAATTAGGCTGATTAGGTTACTTCTTTCCCATCATGACTCAAACCACAAATGCTAGTATATTACGTACCCATCTTGCAATATATAATACAGCAAGTTGCATATCAATTATTGTTTGTTTAATTTTGTAAGTTGCATATTAAATATTCTTTGTTTAATTTTGTCTCATTGAATTCCAAGCTGGCTATTCTAACAAGAATGATTTTTTTTTTTTCATTTTCACTGCCATGTTTTGGACAACTACAAAATGATACTTATCGATTAGAGCTATGTTTCATAGTTCCAAGCATCCTCTCTTTGGTGGAAAAACGATATGTAGTAAACCCTAGATGCTATATACAGCAATAATTAGTTGACCCAGTTTCTATACAACAATGACAGATAAGCTAGCCACTTGGCCATAATTATTTAACTTATTAAAGGGTCAATAAAATTTGTGGCTACCAAGTAAATTTGACCTCATTGACGTCCAACTCTGCACCCACTATTCCCCTCCATAGCTATGACTTGGTGCCTTTGTGGCACTAAAATGGCAAGCCACGAGAAAACCACTCTTAAAAGCAAAACCATTATTTTAAAATGTAACGTCGATCCACTGCTTTTCTCTTAAAAGAAAAATTCGTGCATGCAGCCCCATTATTTTCCTCTATCTGTGTTCTAAAACCGCCTTGTAACGTTGTGATAGTGCCAAACCTCGTTCTGATAATATGATAATGCAAAATTAGTCGGCTGTGATACACACACTCTAGTGTTAGCTAGCTCAGTAAGTCCTCGTGAAACGCCTATAAATACCCTAGCTAGCTAAGAACATCTCCATCCCAATACCAAACAAATTTACCACTTAGTTATTAACTTCTTGTCTCACCTCTTCAATTAATTTTAATAAGCCAAATATGTCTTCAATTGGAGTTGCTTGTGCTGAGGTGTACGTGAAGCAAAAACGGCAGATGGAGAAAATGAAGAGAATGGAGGAGGAAAGAGTGGGAAGAGGAGAAAATGTCATTGAAGAAAGGAAAGTTGGTGGTTCTAGTACTTCTACAAGTGGAAAGAGCAAGAAGAAGGTCCATCCAGGCAGTTTTCCTGGCTCGGAGTCTGTAGGGAAGCAAGGGAAGTGAGGAATAATGTGGCATAACTACTAAGTAGATGTTTGTGTGCGCTTCTTGTTTGAATTTGTGTATATTTTGGGGGTTTTTTTCTTCTTCTTCTTTTTAACTTTTCAGCTCAGTTTCTGGATGTATTTTATAGTTTCTTGCTAGCTGTGAAATTGTGTTGTGTGTAATGTGTGCATGGTGTAATATTGAAGATGTGTTTTGTGAAATGTGTGCATGGTGTAATATCCGCATCCAAAACTCAACTTTGTTATGGTCTATGTGTTGGTTTTATTTTTACAAAACTGTTTATTACTAGTTAGCAGCGTAGTTTATACTCCATCTGTCTCAAAAATATAGTCCAAAAAATATAGATTTTTCTTTAACTTTTCACACAATTTAATAAAGTTATTAATCGTTATGTTATATTAATAATTTTTGTTCATGTTTTTTAAAATATCTTTTTTGTTAAAATTAGCATTAATCAAATTTAATCTTACATTACATAGGATCAATATTAATATGTACAGAAAATCTATCTAAAATAAAGATTGTAAATTAAAGAAAAAATTATTAAATTAATTAATGATCAAATTTAAAACAATTATGAAAAAAAATAGCATACTAATGAAAATATTTTTATTTCTAAAATTTCGGCATGTAGTAAAATCTCTAAAAAAATAAATATTTCTTATATAACAAAAAAATTCTTTTAAAATTTGTATATTAATTAAGGTATTTGTATTTATAAGAAAAAAAATATATAAAAAAAAATATTGCATTTTTTTAGTGAAAAACAAGAAATTGGAGAAAGAATTGATTTTTTTTTTTATCAATTAGGATTATTTAAAAAATATTATTTAAAATTTTGAAACGAGAAATATAAATATAAAAAAAAAGACAGAGAGGGAGAGTATTACTTTTCTCTTTATTGTGATGGGCTGTATGTACTACGTGGTACTGGTAAGCCTTTGCTATGCCAGAACTTGTCTTTCCAAGACCACTAATACGGGCCTTGTGGCCCAGTTCATGGTCAAATGGGTTGAATTTACTAGATTAGTAAGAAAAACAGAAGGTAAATTTACATGATTGTTTGTTCGGAGGCAAAATTTTTTCGAGTTTTCCGACTTTCGGCTCTACAACAAAAGTTTTTATGCACTAAAAATTTTCGATTTGAAGTTGAATTCCTTTTGAAATTGGGAAAACTATTTAAAACTTTTAAGGCTACCTTTGCCACCATATTCTATTCCCATCATCAATTAACTCTGGTATATGAAAAAATCACGAGACCTTAGTCTATTTAAATTCTTTTAACTATATCAAATAATAAGATTAAAAATTCTTTCCTTATTTAACTAGAGGATAAACATCAAAACATTAAAGTTATTATTTAACAGTTTAAAATAACAAAAAAAAAAAGAAAAAAAAGATAGATCTCATCAAATAGATTTTTAAGAAATATTCAAAAATAAAAACTTTTTAACGATCAATACCGTTTAAATAAAAGATAGCATCGTCAGAAATAATATATTAAAATTTTATTTTAATCGAATTTGAAACCATCGTCTCACCGAAATAATAAAAGTGAAAAAGACATGGTTTCAACTTTTTTTCACTTTAGTTTAAATATAGATTTTTTTATAAATCGATCAATTAATATGAGAGGATAGAAGCATTTGTAACAAAAAGGAAGACCAGAGTACAAATTAAATCAAAATGACCTTGTTTTGCAGTATTCTTACCATTTTTGTGGAAGCATTTTGAATTTTTGTGGGAGGATTTTGAATAATAAAAAACCTGTTTTTCATTTAAGTTCAAGCAATTAATTAGCCAAGTTTTAGGAGATTAGTAATTTCTTTCGAACACAAACTCTTGTATCTTAAATGAGATGGGAAAGACTTTATCAGTACTTAATACTGTAAAAATAGTTTTAAGAGTTCAAATCTGCCCCTCTTCTTTTTAACATTTGTCCATAAAGTCCTTGGTATATCTACTAACTAATTATATATTTAGGAATGATTTTCTATGAACCTATGGTTTAATTTAATTTTTATTTTTTTATAATTTCTTAATTCAATTTTGAAATAATATATTACCTGTTCTAGTAATATAACTTTGGATATTTCTACCTAACAAAAATAGAAATTTTCACTTTGCCATCCAATCGAGCTCTGTGTCCTCCCAATGGCATTGACATGGATATTTCTTTTAAAAGAATATCATAGCTATATGACCATCATCATCACCAATCCCTATCATCAGCAGACTCGTTTTTAATATATATATATATATATATATATATATATATATATATATATATATATATATATATTTCATCTTTAGAAGAAAAAAATTGTCAAAAAAATTAAAATTTTATTCATTCTTAAATATTTTACATTTAAATGGTCCCGTGGTGGTTATTGTTGGTGCAGCATCCTGCCAAGCTGTTAGCAGCTTTCTAAATAACTAACAAGGATTGCATATTATCAAAACATTTTTATTTTATTATAACCTTTGAAAAATGTTAAAATCCTATTCTTTAAATGTTTTTTTTTTTTTGTATAAAAAGCTAATATTTTTATTAGCTACAAGCTGATTAAATATACAAATATGTTTGTTTTTTGTTTTTTATTGTGGTCAGTTTTTGTTATATATATTACCAACCAACTTTACAATGAAGCAATTTTTTAGCCTCAAATATATTAATGCATGGGGAAGCAGATGATTGGGATTAGAGATGGCAATAGACGGATATTCGGTTCATTAATTCAACTTTTTATCATATTCGTACAAAAATATCCTACCTATTATCCATTAAAAAAATCATTATATAAATTTTTATCTAATTCATACCTAGTCAATATCAGCTTACCCACTCATTTAATACCCATTAAATTTAATTTATCAAAAGTATTCATTTTATTCTCTATAATTTTCAAGAAAAATTTTTGGTTCTCAAAATTTAATTTATTTTTTGCATTTTGGTAATTTATTTATGAGGTTTTTTGGTACTCAAAGTTTTTTTTTAAATATTTTGGTCCTTAATTTTTAAATTTATGCAATTAGATCCCTATATGTTAAAAAAAAATCTAAATAAACTAGTGGTTATTAACAGGATAAAAAATGGATATCCATATCCCGAAATCATATTAGTAAACATGTATTTTTTTATCTTTATCTATTTCAATACTCATTAGATATTTTTAATTAATATTTATTAGATAGGATAAAACGAGTATTCATTATATATTCGATCCATTGTCATTCTTAATTAAGATATTGAAAAAGATGTTCGTTTATTTCTCCGAAAGAAAAATCTCGGGACAACAAAAAGAAATTGCATGCATAGAAAAGAAATTAAGAGAATTAGAATTCAATATTTAGTCTTGACTTCATTTGCTTATCCATTTTTGTCCCCGAACGATAGAGAAGGAAGGAGGGAAGAGAGAGACAGGAGGAGAGAAAAATCACCGGCCAAGCTTATTTAGGTCGCTTTGGCCAACGAAAATCCACTAGATTTGTTTATCTTTGAGAGATGAGTTTGTCTATGATTGTTTCAAGCCATTAAACCATTAGAGGAGGTAGATCGGAATCAAAAAAGGAAACAAATTTTCGATTTGATTGTGTAATTTGTTTTTATTTTTCAATGCATTAAAATGATTTTTAAGGTTTTAGATATGTTTATTGGCTTTATTCCGATCATTTAGAGGTGTATGAGGAAAAAAATGATGTCGGAATTCAATTTTTAGAGATTTGAAACTTGAACCCCGACATTTCGACGAATATTCCGGTGACCTCGATCGCTGGAAGTTGCAGCCCTTGTTTTTTTTTTTTTTAAGCGACCTGTGCCCGACGCACGAGCCCGGCTGTTTTTTTTTTTTTTTCTTTCCTTCCGTTTCGGCTTAGGAAATTGTTATTTATTTTGGTCCCTTCATTCTTTTTTTTTTTTTTTAATTTTGTTCATTCATCTTTTATGATCTTTAATTTTTATCCCTATCAAAAATATTAAAATTTTATTATATGTGATTTTAATCCTTATAATCAAATTTTTTTAACTTTTAGCAAAAATTTATGTTTTTTTATGTTTTTTAATATGTTTTTATTTTAGTTATGAAAATTTTCTCATATTTAATTTTTATCCTTACTATGCTAAAACTAAATAAAATTTACTATCCTAAGTTTTTTTTTTTTTTACTGAAATTTTCTTTCTATTCTAATTTCTATTTTTTTTATTTTTTTCTTTCTTTTCGTCATTAAATTTAGTAAAAAAAAAATTTTTAGTCTTTGTTTTGTAATTTTTTTTTATTTTGATAATTAAAATTTTTTCCTACAAGGAACTATTTTTTACTTTTAATAAAACTTTTTGTTATATTTTGGTTTTTGTTTTATGATCTTTCATTTATTTTGATCATTAAAATTTTATTATATTTAATTATTAATCATTTTACATTAAAATTAAATACATTTTAACTATCCTAAGTTTTTTTTTGTTTTTTTTAGTGAAAAATTTTATGTTTTGATTCTTATGTTATTAATTTTTTTATTTTAGTCATTAAAATTCTATAATGTTTACTTTTGTTCCTGTCTTATGCATAATGAAATTTTTTTAGTATTATTATTTATAAGTATTTTTTGTATGCTTTTAGTGAAAGTTTATTTATTTATTTATTTTTATCCTTTTATAATCTTTACTTTGTTTTAATCATTTAATTTTTATCATGTGTAATTTTATCTCTATTTTTTTGTCAAGTTCTCGATTTGATAAAGTTTTTTTATCTTTTTGTTTTGAGTAGTCTCTCGGTCTCATTAATAAATTATAGATGAATAATATATGGTAAAAATTAATCATCGAAAATTCAAAAAACTAAAACATTATGATTTTAATTATCAGCTATTAATAAAATATATGTTTATATAAAAAATATCTAATTAGCAAATATTTAATTAGCAATATTATTTTATTCAACTTTACTGATTCTTCATTAGCTAATCCTGTAGCAAATTATGAAATATGTTTTAGTTTTTTTAAAATTATTTTTGTATAATATTATCAAATAATAATTTATAAATATTAAATTTTATATTAATGAATGTATAAAAATGATATATAATTTATCTCGCGATAACGCGTGGGATATATGCTAATTTAGTGATAAACTTAAACTTCATGAAAAAGTCATTGATATGTTTGCAGACTTCTTTCGTCTTACTCTTACATGGTTCGGAAAAGTAGCCATTGAGTATGTATTCCTTGACACCTGGAAGATGATAGTTGATATACTGCTCACCTATTACAAACTTAACGGGAACTTGGATTTTTGCCCCAATCCATGCTGCCACGAGGTTCTGCAATAAAATAGGGAAGAAAATTAAGTTTTGGCTTATATGAACACGAAAGAATGGATAACATCAAATATCATAATGTATGTTTGAGCAAGCTTTAAATTAATAACACACAAATCCAAAATGAGTTTATCTCATATTTAATTTCTATATTCTTTGAATTTTTTTATTTACTTAATTAAAACCATTTATTTTTACAAATTTATTAATTCAAAATTTTCGATATAACTCTACAATTGTTTATTCAACATAATAACACCTTAAGTTCAATAGTAATTGAACAAGTGATATATGGTGTTCCAACGCTTACTGTCAAAATAATAATAATAATAAATAAATAAATATTAAAATATTTTTTATTATTGAACTAACGCTTTAGTATTTAAAAATGATTGGAAAAGACAATATTGTCCCCTTCCTTATTATGAGCAACCCAAGTCTAAGAGAATTCTTAATTTTTCATCCTCACAGCAGAATATCATTGACAGACCAATTTGCTAGTTCTCGCATTTTCTACTGATTATTGCGACTCTGTATGATAGTCATCAATAAAAGAGCCATTTCAACTGCCAAGAGTTTCTCGTTAATCTCAAGATTCATACCATCTCGCCTCCACACCACGACCGCGGCAGCGGCGACAGAAGCCAAGGCAGCTGAGCAGCCAATTACAAACACAACAAAACCACAACAACAATAATAATAATAAAAATTTCCAAATCTGCCGATAGAATCCAGACAACCCAACAAAGGGAATTTGGTACTGAAGTTTTTGCATTTTGGTGAAAAATTATAAAATTATGATGAATAAGAAAAATTCATGGGTAGATTTGACTGCGACTTCTGTAGCTGAGAACATAAATGCTGGTCCTTCTTCAATCAATAGAAGTCTAGGTACTATTCTACAACGACCCCTCCCCAATCTACATACGTCCCTCCCCATATTCGCAACCGTGCACCATCCTCTGACTCACCAGCTGCTGCATATAGTGGGCCTGGGTCAAGTAACGGTAATGATGGTGGGAGAGTTGTTGGGTGGGGACACAGAGGTGGTTGGGCTCGTGGGAGAGAGCGAGAAGTGAATCCTTTTTAAGAAGACGAAACAGATGAGCTATTTAGCGAGCAAGGGTCTTGAGAGAGTTAGAACGAGATTGAGAATGAAAAATAGGAAAAGAAAATGCAAAAGATTGATTTGGGTTTGGAATAACAGGAGAGGGAAAGTTTTCCTTTGACAATATTTTTTAATATTAAATATTATTTTATTAATAAAAATATTTTTATATTTTTTAAAATTTTGTAAAAAATTTGTTATTGAGACGCATTACATCATGTGTCGCTTAGTTATTGATTGCCGTTAACTTAACTTTACATATTGTTTAATTATCGATTGTAGTTAATATTAACTTACTACATGCGTTAATGATGTTATAATAAAATATTTAAATCAATAAAAAATTTAAATTTAAAAAAAAATCAGAGAGTATAGATTCCAAATGGATGTGGGTAAACCCAATCCAAAATATATCATACTATGTCATACAAGATAAAGAAATTAATATTCCATTAGTTAAATAGATTGATTGATATCTTCTTCTGAAAACCGAGGAGGCAAGCATGGAGGATCCTGTAACCCTCTGAATCCTGTTTCTTTAGGTACCATAAAGGGCTTTGGACAGAAACCTGAAAAGAATATCCTAAACAGTTTTGTAGTTGAAACTTGAGCAAAGTCTTCTTCAATCCTTCCATGTCCAGATTCCTACAATAGAAATAAATTAATTGTATTATTTTAAATTGAAAAAAACAAAAAAAAAACAAAATAATATTGATTGTAAATCCAATGATCTAACTCCTCGTCATCAATTTGTACTTAATTTCTTTTTGGTACGACTCAACAAGCTGGTGAAGATTTAGAAACAATTAGAAGAGGATTAATTACCCTTTCTGTAGCCCAAGGGAAGGGTCTTCTTTTAAAAATTAAAAATAACAAATTATCAACAAAAAAAAAAGCCATTATTATTATTTATTACCTCAAACCTGCTGGCATCGTAATCCTCACCATACGTGCTCTTGAACACTCAATGGGTTATTAATATTTGGGTCTCTAGCCATGAATGCAAGTCAAGTTGACCAAGGGCCTGACCATGACAGGTCAGAAGTACCAAGCAATCATAGCACCCCAATCGATCATGGCCTACCAAAAACGCTTGATTGATCCCCGACGCGTCGAGAAGTCCTTTCAGGTAACCGACGATGTGGACACCGGTGCACAGCTGGCTCGCTGATTCAGCAGCATCGTCACCATATCCACGAAGATCTGGGGCAATGCAACGGTAGCCGAGGGATGAAAGATGGAGGAGTTGGCGTCGCCATGGATACCCATAGTTCAGGGAACCCGTGCAAGAAGAGGATTACTGGCCTGTCCCTGTTGAAGCTACGTGCATGTTTATGCCATTTGTGGCTATTGTAATGTGCTCTATCTTCTCCATTATGATATGGGAGGTTTGATTAATTGAACGGTTAAGGATGGGTTCTGAGATTAGGTTTGATGAGGAGGAAGTGAACAGTATAGATCTAGAGGAAGAGAGAGAGCCACCACTGAGATTGGTGGTTTGGGACCTGCATAGATAAAGAAGGGGGCGGTAGAGAGAGGTCATCAGGGTTTCTTAAACCCTTGTTTGAATATTTCCTCTCGGGAGGAAAGATAAGACAGAAAAAAGTAAGATGAAAAAAAATATTTTTCACTTATTGTTTGGATAAGATTAGAAATGAAAGGAAAGAAAATATTTTTTTTTATTTGGATAATTATATATATATATATATATATATATATATATTTATTATTATACCCCTATTAATATTATTTCTATATTTAAATATTTATAATAAATTAGTATAAATAAATTTGTATGCATATTTTTTTCATTAAAATTGCACAAATCATAATAAAAAAAAAATTATAGCATGTAGCATCTATCTGAAATGACATTAAAGAATTGTATTAAAACAAAATAGAGATCATGTTATTTATACTTATTTTGGATATCTAAAAATTAAATCCATCTTGAAAATGACTACAAAAGGATCAACCATGATTTTATATCTTTCTTAGATTTATTAAGTGTTGCTCATCATTCTTTATGTTGGTACTTGTGAAAAACTAAACAAGTGTTTAATTTAGAAATAATGACGTCATGTATCATGTTTCTTCTTGTGAAAAATTATAAATAAATATATATAAGTGTATATAATCACTTATCATTCATAATATTGATCAATAGATATTTTATAAAAATTATAAATTATAAAAAATTAATTAAAGCTTTGTATAATTAAATGTTTGAGGTTTTTAACTCATAAGACTTAAAGTTATATTTGGATCTTTTTTTAATTACAAATTTAATTGTAAAATGTATTTTTGGTCATGCCCGTATGTATGATAATTGTATTTGTCACGTATATTGCTATATCACTATCTCTCGCATATAATCTAAAATTAAAATTATATATATATATATATATATATATATATATATATATATTTGTCATATCCCACGCAGTCTTTTCGTATTGAAACGTGTTAACAAATAATCCATGCAGGTCATAAGTTTTTATTATCATTTACCAATTAAATGAGGAGGACGGTTGAGGCAAATGTAAAAATGTAAAAAACAAAAAAAAGAAGAAGCTATTTCTCATGCTTTTCTCCTCGTTTCCTCCTAATTTTGAGAGAAAAATGAGTTCCATCATTTATAGATTGTTTTTTTTTTTCTTTCCTGCGCTTTCCTCCCTCAAAACAAACGAAGAAAAAATTTCTTTCCTCTCCTTCACTTTCCTCCCTATCCAAACATAGGGTAAATGTCCGAAGGTAATTGGAATTTTCATCCTTTATTAACTTAATTTTTATTTTTTTACTCTTTAAAAATATTTCCCAGAAATTAAGAAAAAATACTTTTTTATTCCCGAACCCTTTTCCATCCAAATTTGCGCGTGTCACGTATTAGATGCTGTTTTTATATCATCTATCAAATTAGGTGAAAGTCACACCATATATACTCTTGTGCTTGTTATTGAATATAAGAACCAAAAATATTTACAATACTACAAGTTATTTTTTTAATTATATTTATTTTTTTATAAAATTTAAAATCTGAGAATTTTTTTTTAAAAACTTAATACCATATAAAATCACAATCTTAATGTGTTGTTTGTTAATTAGGAATAGAATAGTGAGAATGAGAATAAAAATTTTATTTTCACCTAATAGCTATTTGATTGAAAAAAATGAAATGAAAATGGGAATGAAGAGTAGAATGAAAATGAAAGTTGCATACAACTTCATTCCCATTTAAAATATGGGAATAAAAATAAGGAATGAGAATTGATTTTTTTTTCTCAAAATAATAATATATTTTATTTATTTATTGTCTATTAACTACTTCTATCACCACCACCTCCACTACAACAACCACCACCATTATCACCTTTATTATTTTTACAACTATTATGATTTTATAAAATTATTTTTTAATCATATTTTTATTTATATAAAAAAAGATATTAAAAAATTCAAATTGCATTATTATTTTTTATTAGTATTCCAAACACAATATGAGAATACAAATCTCATTCGATTTTCTAATTTTAATTATGATTCCCGCATTCTCATTCCAAACCTTTTATATTCCTTATTAGTATTCCAAATACAATATGAGAATACAAATCTTATTTCGATTATCTAATTTTCATTTTAATTCCTGTATTTTCATTCCAAATATTTCATTCCCGGTAACCAAATAACATCTAAATATTATAATTCTTTATGATTTTAGTTCTCAAAAATTAATATTTGAAAAAATCATAATATTTTGTTTTTCAAAAATCCTTATTTTCTTATTACAGAAATCAACAAAATCAAAGAAGAACTCTTGTTCGGTTAAGAAGGAAAAACAGAAAAAGAAAATTTTTTTTTCTAGGTTCACAATCGTTCTTTTCCTATTTAATTTAATTTCTTTATGGGTTATTTAAAATCATTAATGCACTAGACCTATAGCATGTACCTACCCACACACGCACTCAAAAACTTTAATTCATTCAACACTTTCAAGCAAATATATATCTTTATATTTTCCCATTCATCCTTTATCTTTTGAACAAATGAACTCAAAAGTACTCCATAAGGTTGTAAACTGAGCCGAATTGAATTGAAATATAAGTTTGGTTTTTTTTTTTTTTTTAACTCAAATTTAGGAAAAAAAGAAAAAGACAAACCAAATTTATTTTGGGTTTTCTGTTTCGGTTTGGTTTTTAAAATTTTTAGTCGATGTTGTGCCAAAAATAGATTTTTTTTGTACATTTTGTTATTATTTAAATTTTAATAATTCGATTTACCATATATTTAAATAATTAATTTTTTTATATGATTTTGCGTTGTAGTTTTTTTTAAATAAATATTTATTGTCTTTTATATGACTAATTTAGATTATTTTGGCTAGAGGAAAGAATTCAGTCTTGAATACAATTTTTTTAGCTTATTTACATTATTTTAAAAATAGAAAAAAATGGGTTTAACCAAATCTGAAAATTGAGATTTAAGTTTTTTTTTAAAAAACCGAATATTTATTCAGTTAGGATAATTTTTTTTTTTAAATTCCATTAACACGGAAAAAATGAATGCCACCCTTACATAGCATTAATAAATGGAAGGATAGCCTAACTTCTCCATCATTCAAGCCGCCGGCGCGTCAGCTGTCAGAAGTGACAGACACACTGACTCAAGGCAAGGCAAGGCTCGCACTCGAGAAAATATAAAATAAAAACAGCTTAAAAAAACGGCAGTCCTATTGACTTCACACATCGTAAGCAACGAAGACAGCCCACTTTTTCCTTCTCACTCACTTCCTATAAATTCCCTCAAAATCTTTCCTTTTCAATCAAACTTTTTCAACTGCCGAAACCTGCTGTCCATCACAAAAGCGGAAACCAACCAAGTGAGTAATTATAGTTCCATGGAATCTTATGGCCAACAAGTGATTTTAATCACTGGTTGCACCCAAGGAGGCATAGGTCATGCCTTGGCACGTGAATTTGCTACTAGCAACTGCCTTGTTGTGGCCACGGCTAGGTCTTTGACTTCCATGAGAGACCTTGAGCATGATCGCAGATTTTACCTCCAAGAATTGGATGTTTTGTCAGATGAGAGTGTGCAGCATGTTGTGTCAAATGTTGTTGAAAGATATGGTAGAGTTGATATTTTGGTTAACAATGCTGGGATTCAATGTGTTGGCCCTCTTGCTGAGATCCCTTTATCTGCTATGCAAAACACTTTCAATACCAATGTTTTTGGTATTCTTCTTCTTCTTCTCATCAAATCCTCTTGTTTATTTCCTTTATCTGTGTTTCTTTTGATGTTTTCTCCTGTGCTTTTTGTGCCCTTTCCACTGTTTTGTTCTTCTTTTTGAATTGATGTGTGCATCTTGATTTTGTTTACTGTTTTTTGTCATTATGTGCTCCCCTTTTGTCTGAATTTGGTTTCTCTGTCTTTGTTTAGTCTATAGGCCATTTTATATATGGGAATTTGGAGTTCTTGTTTGGTTCCAGGTGCTGTGCAAAGATAATGAATATTCACCTCTCTCTCACTCTATTTGTTATGGTGCAGATTGATAGAGCTCATGATTACAAAAATGGTTTGGCTATTCGGTTTTTGATTTGTACATGGGCGGCATAATTAGGTTGAATTTCAACTCAAATGGCTAATATGTGATATCTGAATTTGGTGGTTGGTTTTATGCTCTGATCCTCTAGGTGCTGAGTAAATATTCAGATCCTTTTTCTGATCATTCTTTCTGCTCTTGGGAGCCAAATACCCAATCAGTGAGAATCTGATAGCCTTGAAACTATGGAACTGGGAACTGCTAATCCATTCTCTTTGCCTACGGGAACCATATGAACAGAACTGCTTGGAATTCTCAATTATGAAGATCGGTACCAGCAACAGAATTCTTGTTAATTGGTCTAATGGATGTTGAAATTCTACATTGTTTTTCGTATTGGTGACTCTTATCTGTCTCTCCTAATAATTTTCAAGCATTCGGCTGATGTCTGAAACTTTCTTCTTCCATCTGAGAATATTTCTCCCAAGTATATTTTGTAGGATTTCAATAGCATACGGTCTTTACAACTTGATTGCTTTTTCTTTGGAGTTTCAACCATTGCTTGAAATGTAACTGATCTTGAATGCCCTAGTTCTCAATTTATCATTGCAACTTGAGGTACACAATGTGCTAATGATATATCTGCTTCTATAGACTCTTGTAAATCAATGCACAAGATGCGTATTTTTTACATTTATGACAAAGTTAGTGTACAATTTACTCTTTTAAACTGCATCCTATAACACTTTGTTTTGATCTTGTTATTGATTCTGATGCTAAATTCTTCGTGTGCGCGAGTGAGCACATGTGGTTTCTGTTACCTTGGTGTTGTTGTCTAACATTGATAGTCTTTGTCTCAAGTAAAGTATGCATTTAGACGATGGTAGTGTTGTGTCACATGATTTAAGTCTTGAACCATGGGACTGCAGTCCTATCTACTTATACATTGCTATAAAATAGCCAAATTAGCAGGACTCTGTTGCTGCTTCTGGAACTGTCCTTTCGTTGTTTTCTTAATTTTGAGCTTGCTAATTGTTTGTTTGAACATCTGGAGCTACTAATTCCTCTTGATGATGCACGAGACTTCAGCCTGATAATCATGGCGCTCTTTGGACATATTGACACAAACAATTCCTATTCTATAAATTTTGCATGTGTATAGTAATATTGAGTGATCAGGAACAACCTTGGTGCATCCACTCCCCATTCCCTGATCTTGAATGTGAACATGTCCAGGACGAACAATGATGATTCTCAAGCCAGATATCTTGTGCAGCCTCACCTCCAACCTTACAAATTTACTATCGTATATGTTGCTGTCTCTGATTCGACATCTAGATCTGTTTCTTCTAAAGCATGCATGTTCTTAGCAGCAATTCTTGATTCCATTTTTAATAATCATGACACACAGCTATGAATTGATGTAAATTTAGGATGTACAGGTACCTATTTCTTTTACACTGAACTGCAATTTTAGATGTTCTCTTTAATCAACTATTGTAATACAATAAAAGTTGAACTTCCATGGTAGTCTTACTACTAGGTTTGAACTCGGATGTGAACATAAACTGCACTTGTCCCAAAACAACACCTAAGATATTTTGGAAACTTCTGAGGGTATGCTACCTCTTGAGTTAAGTTAGTCAGATTCTTTAGTAAAAGGTCTCGACAGGATTTCATTCATCATAAGATAGATATCATATAGATCTTTCATTGTTCGCAACACCCATGAAATGAATGGATATTCTTTTGCTCTCCATGGTATGAGAGGCTGCCTTGAGCCGAAATATAATGTGAAGGTATCTGCTATCAACTTGAGTCCTGAACATGGCTCAAATTGGTCTCACAACTATCATATCAAATTGGCAGAACCTAGTTTTTGCATTTGTAGAGGTTTTGTATGAAGCAAGCTACTTCTCTTAGTTTCCATAAGTGCACTTACAATTTCATTTCATTTTAATACTGGAGTTGCTATAAGAGCATATCAGCATTACAGTCATTTAAACCTTATTCTCCACCTTTTGATGTTATAAGGAAAGAGTTTATCTGCTAACCTTCTCTCCTCAAAATGCATTAGAGTTCACGTGATTTATTGTTTTTTATTTTTTTATTATGCCGGCAAAGAATTTCCTTTTTGCAACTAACAGAAGAAGGAACCTGCACTACTTTTTAAACGTTTCAGTTATGCTAAGAAACTTCTAAAAGAAATCATATTAAAATCTCTGAAGACAATCTATCAATGTGTAAATTTCTTGTGAACACTGTATTGGTGCATTATTTGCTGTCTTGTGTGCTTGTTATTCTACTAGAAGCTTCATTATTCTTTTTCTGTACACTCTTAACACATGATGTAGCATTCATAATTCATAAACAGACCTTCCTGAAAATACAGCGATAACAAGTTTATTGTTGTAAATCATGGATTAATCCATGTCTTTTGTCCTAGTTATCTATAATGTCTTTGTTCAGAGTCATGGCAGGCTATGACTTTCGAAAATGTTGTGCTTGAGCTGTTCTTAGGTTCTTTAGATACTCTTGAAAAGGCTCTCTGGACAACCAATAGTAAGAATGAATTTCAGCCTCTCTCTACCTCATTGATTCTGCTAGCACTTAGCATGCTATTGATGAAATACCAAAATATTATTTTCCTGTTCTCTTAACATCAAGCATGCAATGTAGGTACCATGAGGCTGGTTCAAGCTGTTGCTCCTCACATGGCATCTAGGAAGAAGGGGAAAATCGTAAATGTTGGAAGTGTTACTGTTATGGCTCCTGTTCCGTGGGCTGGGGTCTATACTGCGACCAAAGCAGCTCTTCATTCACTAACTGATACCTTGAGGTTGAGATACCTATGTCACCTACCTTCTCCTATTAAACATCTAGTTCATATCTGCATAAAACCAATCGTTCCGAATTGTTACAAAGAGTATGACTTCCCTTCCAGAACCTAAAGCCCCACGTACGCTTACACACACAAGCATTTTGACACATATCTGCGTATCTGATATGTGCAAGTATTTTAACTTCCAAGTTACCAATTCTTTTGGCTTTGATATTAGCATATCGAAGTCACCAGCCTTCTAATCATCAATTGTGTGCATCCAGAGAAATGAATAGCAGAGTTTCATAAATTACTGGTATGCAATACAATATCTTGGTACCCTTTGTGTGATTATTCAGATGAACCAAATCTAGAATCCTTTTTCTTACACTTCAGATCAACGTAACTTCTGATTTATCAACAATGTAAGGAATGTTTATTTCTGCCACCTGCAGCTTAGATAAATGAACAGACATTTTTAGTACTAGAATCTTCTTAGTTCTTTTGTTATTTGATGCATAGTAATTATTTAAACAAACCAGAGTATGATCCATATATGATCCAGAAATTAATCGAAAGCTGTATTATTCTAGTCCAATGAGAGGAGAATACATTGATAATTTTTATAACTATACAGCTTCTTGAAAAATAGTGCTATTTTTAGTTTGGAGATGCTAATAGTAAGAAGTTGCCCATGTTTAAATGCAGGCTGGAACTCAGGCCTTTAGGGATTGATGTGATCAATGTTGTTCCTGGAGCTATTAAATCAAACCTTGGAAATTCTGCCATAGCCAGCTACAACCAGATGCCTGAGTGGAAGTTATACAAGCCATTTGAAGAAGCAATACGGGAGAGAGCATATCTTTCACAAGGACTTAAGGCCACTCCGACAGAAGAGTTTGCAAAAAAACCGTTGCGGCGGTGCTAAAGGAAAATCCGCCGGCATGGTTCTCCATTGGGCAATTCTCTACTGTCATGTCAATCATGTACCATTTGCCTCTTTCTGTTAAAGATTTTATCATAAGAAGAAAATTTAAATGCTGAGTTCTGCATCATGTAAGTGAGTTGGTCAGCTTTGGATGGTTCTTGTAAAGCATCTTCCTTATCGTTCTTGCACAATAAAGAGATGGAAAACGTTAGTATTTATGCTATCACAAGTTATAGTTATTATTAGTACGTTATTCGTGCGTTGTCGTTATCTATATAGAATCTGTTTTAATTGACTTACAAAATCTATTTTAATATTTTAATTAATTTTAAAAATCCAAATAAATGAAGTAAAAATGAATCAATATTAGTTTTGGAAATTTTTTTAATTTAATATATATCATGTAATATTTAATATCATGTATATATTTTATATTTTTGAATTTAAATATATCCTATGAATATGTTTTATTTTGATAAATAAGAAAGACAACGTGCAGAAAGTCAAATTGAGGATTTTTCGTAGTTATCTCTCCTGTACATATTGTATACTAGATAAAGTAGCTAATTATGTTTGAATAATTAAAATTAGAACCAAATGTTTAAACAATTATGTACATATAGAGCACCATACAGAAAATTGAGGATTTTTTTTATCTATCTTGTTTATCCATTAAGAATAATAAAAAAAAAACAGCACATTTTAATTGATTTCCTTATTTGATTAAACAATTAACAGATAATGGTTTTAATTATTTTTAATTTGATAATAATAAGGAAAAAAAAGTCACCGCCATTACAATTATTTGACAATAAGGGGTGTTCTTTATTTACCCATAAAAGTAATGTTGTCTTTTTTATACTAGATAACGTTAAAATTAAATATCTTTCCAACTTTATTTTTTGTGAAGTAACATCTTTTTTTTTTTTTACATGATAGGGTTAAATAAAATCATTTTTATCAGTGCATTTGGTGACTTAATAGAATAAAAAATCAATTTAAGGTGATACATAACATTGTTTTGTTGTTAATGGATAAATAAGATGGTTATAAAATCTAATATTTAATCTAATTTAATGGTTACTTTTGACCTTTCAATTTTTTTATAGTTTAAAATTAGTTTTTTTATTTGCGCTATACTACGGGTCCGACATAACATATAAAATTATTTTTAAAAAATTATTTCAATTTAACATCCGATGTTATATTGTATGTTTACCAAAATATATCAAATCAAAATTGAAAAAAAAATTCATTCAATTTTATTATTTTTTAATAAAAAATTTATATTTGACTGATTATTCTTTTTTTTATATAAATTTTTTATTAAAAAAATATTATTTATTTATCTATACCCACATTCTTAACTAAAAAAATTATAATAATGTAAGAAAAAATGTCAAAATCAATAGATTCTTAACTAAAAACTTGTTTTGTAAATTATTTTTTAAAAACTTTTTTTTCCTTCAAATTTTTAATGAATTTTTTTTTTAAAAAGACCAAAGTGATCAAAATAAAACAAAAGGACCAAAATGAAATAAAAAAATTTATGAAAAATATAATATTTAAAAAAGAGGGACCACAAGTATAATTTGATGAAAAAATTTATAATAAATACTTTTAAAAAGTTTAAAAACTAAGAAAATATCACTGCATAGTAAAATAAATAGTACACATGAGTTTTGTGAATAGTATAAATGAATCTAGATAAATAGTATTTCAAATAATACCAATGAATAATCAACAATCATTTTACTTTAGTTTTTTTTTTTTTTTTTGGTTAATTCTAGCAATCCCATTAAATAATTTAAGAAGTGCAACCTCCACAAATATGTTAGAAAAAAACCTATAACCTTTCATTCTTCTTACTGCATTTGTTTGATTATGATCTTCATTGATGTATAATGACTGTTATATTATAATTTACAATCATGATACATACAGTTGACTACGTACGTTAACTAGCATATTATATCATATAGAGTATATCAACAAGAAAATCGGGAAATTTGGAGAATTCTTAAGTGGTGGTTTGATGATGCCAAATGGAATGACAGTACCGGAAAATGAATGAAAATTTTATTCTTATTTATTTGAAAAAAATGTAATGAACGAATATAAAAGCAAGAAAGAAAATAAAAATTAAATATAATTCTATTTCCATGAAGAAAGATATAAATAAAAACAAAAAATAAGAATTAGATTTTTTTTCTTTAAACAGTGATATATTTATTTATTATACATAAATTATTTTTACCACCATTATCATTTCTATTACTGACATCACTTCCTCCATTAGCATTGATAAAAAAATCATCATCATCATGCCACCACTCTTCCTTCACCATAACTATTATTTTTATTATACTTTAATCATTATTTTTTTAATTGTCATGGTTTATGATGTTAGCATTAATTTTTAAAAAATATTATTGCTTTTATTATATTATTATTATTATTTTTTTTTATCATTATCACTATCACCACAATTGTTTTTATCGTTAATAAAATTATTTTTCAATTATTAATTTTATTTGTTTTAAAAATAATAAAATTTTATTCTGATGTTTTATTATTATTTTAAATACGTTGTTAAAATGAAAATACTATTTCAATTTTCTAATTTTCATTTTAATTTTTTATTCTCATTTCCGATTTTTCAGTTTTCTATAACCAAACCATATATATAAATTTAATGGTACAATGGATTGCATAGAATCAAGAATTATACGCAACAGATATAAAGAATCCTTTATCTTTTCACCAAAGGAGCTAAAAAAACGGGGCATGTAGTAATAAATAAAAGGAAAGGCGCAACTTCTCTATCATTCGGGTGGCAGTTCTATTAACTTCACACATTGCAAACAACGAAGTGGTTGACAACAAGTGGAATCTTTCCACAAAACCTATAAATTCCCTCAAAATCTGTCATCTGCAATCGAACCTTTTCAGATGCAGAAGACCTTCTATCCATCAGAAAAACCAACCAAATGAATTGTAGTTTAATGGAATCTTGTGGCCGACAAGTGGTTTTAATCACTGGTTGCTCCCAAGGAGGTATAGGTCATGCTTTGGCACGTGAATTTTCTGCTAACAACTGCCTTGTTGTGGCCACAGCTAGGTCTTTGTCTTCCATGGCAGACCTTGATCAAGATCACAGATTTTACCTCCAAGAATTGGATGTTTTGTCAGATGAGAGTGTGCAGCATGTTGTGTCCAATGTTGTTGAAATATATGGTAGAGTTGATATTTTGGTTAACAATGCTGGGATTCTCTGTGTTGGCCCTCTTGCTGAGATCCCTTTCTCTGCTATGCAAAACACTTTCGACACCAATGTTTATGGTTACAATCATCAAATCCTCCTCTTGTTTATTTCATTGGTCTGTGTTTCTTTTGATGTTTTCTGCTTATGCTTTTTGTGCCCTTTTCACTGTTTTGTTCTTCTTTTTGAATTGATGTGTGCATCTTGATTTTGTTTACTGTTTTTGTCATTATGTGCTCCGTTTTCTTAATTGTTGGGTTTCTGTGTCTTGGCTTGTCTATAGGCCATTTTGTATATGGGACTTCGGAGTTCTTGTTTGGTGTTAGACTGTCCAAAGATAATGAATATATTCTCCTCTCTCTCTCTATTTGTTATGGTGCAGAGTTATAGAAGTTTACTAAGATGATTTTGACTATTTGGTTTGTGATTTGTACATGGGCAGCAAAATTTATATAGGTTGAATGTCAACATGAATAGCTACTATGTGAGATCTAAAATTATGGAATTGACAACTGCAATTCCCTTCTCTTCAAGTAGTTTCAATATGGCCGACGGGAAGTAAATGAACAGAACTGCTTGGAGTTTCAATTATGGAGATCTGTCTCAGCAACTGAATTCTTGTTAGCCTGGCCTCATGGGACTTGAGATTCAGTATTGTTTTTTATATTAGTATTGTCTCAGCAACTGATGACTGAAATTCTTCTTCCATCTCAGAATATTTGTCTTAAGCACATTTTGTAGGACTTCATTAGCAGACAGGCTGTACAACTTGCTTGCTTTTTCTTTGGGGTTTTGGCTAGTGCTTGAATGGAACTGATTTTGAATTCCATAGTCTCAGATTGTTGTGGCAATACGAGATATTGAATATGCTTATGGTTTTATCTGCTTCCTCAAAACTCTTCCAAATCTTTGTGCTAGCTAGTTGCTTGTATTTTACATTTGTAACAATGTTAGTGTACAAATTAATCTTTAAAGATGCATCCGTTAATTTTGATCTTGTTATTGACTCTGAAGCTAAATTCTTTGTGTGTATGAGCACGTTCGTGAATGGTGTGCCAACTTGGTGTATGTATGTACCTTGGAGTTCATGTCTTGATTAGCAAGTCAACTTTAAATAGTTTGAAGTATTTCCTGTACTCATAGTTAAAATGGTAAGGATTTGAATTGGTCATAGCAGTTTTAGTTGATCATGCAGTTGAATTCAAAATCCTGTCTGCTCAAAGGTCCAGTTCGTTGAGTTTTCAATTCAACAAGCTGGCCAGGTTTAGTGACTATGATTCAAAATGGTTGACTGTTTACTGATAGATATCTAAGCTTTTCAATCTAGCAGGACATCCATGCAATCACCTGCTTTTGATTTATGCTTTTGATTGAGATGAATCCTTATTCGAGTAAAGTTTCTTTTCAATCGTGGGACCTTTTGAGATAAAGAGATCTTAATCTTGAGGTCCCCCTCTCTCCTGAGTCCTGACACCTTTAACGTGAGGTGCTTCCCCAGCTCAAGGCCTTTAAAGATATCTTCATCTTGAGATAAAAGCCTATCTGGACAATCATTGCCAATACCAAGAATACATCTCAGGCCTCTTTCTGCTCCATTGATCCTGCTAGCACTTAGCATGCTATTTGTTGAAATACCAAGACATTTTTTTTTAGGTCTTTTTAACATCAAGCATACATGTAGGTACCATGAGGCTGGTTCAAGCTGTTGTTCCTCACATGGCAACTAGGAAAAAGGGAAAAATCGTAAATGTCGGAAGTGTCTCTGCTTTGGCTCCTGGTCCATGGGCTGGTATCTATATTGCAACCAAAGCGGCTCTTCATTCACTAACCGATACCTTGAGGTTTGTATGTCATTAGATACCAACCAATTTTACTTTTTCCAATTAAACGTTTGGTTCATATCTGCATAAAACCAGTAGCACAAAAGTGTTACGAAGAGTACTGACTGCCCTTCCAGAACTTAACACATACATTCACACACATGCACATAAACATTCAGACACATATCTGCATACGTATATGATATATGCGTCTTTTAACTTCACTAGTTACCAATTCTTTTGGCTTTGATATTAGCATATCAAAGTCGCCAGTCTTCTGATCATCAACTAATGTGCAGGAAGAGAACTAGTTAGCAGAGTTTCATAAATTATCAGTATGGTAGACAATATCATGGTACACTTTGTGTGATTATTCAGATGAATCAAATCTATAATCCATTTTCTTATAAAACCGCAATTAATGTAAGTTCTGATTTATCGACAAAGGAAACAAATATTTATTTCTGCCACCTGCAGCATAGAACTGGAAAGACAACTTTTATACTAGAATCTTCTTAGTTCATTTGTTATTCAATATGAAGTAATCATTTAAATAAATTAGCGCATGATCCAGATATTAATCCAAAACTAAATTTCATCTATTCCAATAAGAGGAAATGGCTTTGATAATATTCAAAATTTATACAGCTGGGAAATGGTGCTATTTTTAATGTCAGATATGCTAACAGTAAGGACTTGTCCGTGTTAAATGCAGGCTGGAACTCAGGCCTTTAGGGATTGATGTGATCAATGTGGTTCCTGGAGCTATTAAGTCAAACGTTGCAAATTCTGCAATAGCCAGCTACAACCAGATGCCTGAGTGGAAGTTATACAAGCCATTTCAAGCAGCAATACGAGAGAGAGCGCATCTTTCACAGGGACCTAAGTCCACCCCTACAGAAGAGTTTGCTCGGAATACGGTGGCAGCTGTGCTAAAGGAAAATCCACCGGCATGGTTCTCCATGGGCCAGTTCTCTACGGTCATGTCAATCATGTACCATTTGCCGCTTTCTGTTAAAGATTTTATCCTGAGGCGACAATTTAAATGCTAAGTTCTGCATCGATCATGTGAGTGAGTCGGTCAGCTTTCCATGTCTACAAGCCTTATAATTGCTCATATTCACACACGGTTCTTGTAAGCATCTTCCTTAACGTTCTTGCATATGAGCACAATAAAGAGATAAAAACGTTTGTGTTTCTGCCATTTTGTGTGGTTATGTAACCGAGTACCTGATGAGCAAATGTTGGGAATCACAGTATTGTTTAGTTTTAATTTATTCAAGTTTGCTCGTTCAATGTCCAGTCTCGATGAGTAAAGGCGAGATCAACTAGTAAGTGAAACCAAATAATACAAGTCCTTTAAACACGTGAATGCTGGAATTTGAGCACTGAGCATGCTGTTGACTGCACCCAAACCAACTAGTGAAAAAGGGTCAAACAATCTGAAAATTTATAAATTAGCTAAAAATTTGTGCCTGCCAGTCGAGATATTTGTAGCTATTGTCATATTTGTGTGCCTGGAACCAAGGCAAGAACAAAGTTTGCACGAACAAAAATTCAAATTACTCATTGGCATAGTTGCATAAATAAAAATTAGAAAGTATATGACAATGCCATAATAGAGATCAACTAGAGCTAATACCAAAGATTTTACTTTTCCAACACTAGAAGTCCTACTCATGCTTTTGAAAAAGATGAAGGTCGCTAATTACAGGCAGTGTACCTATGAGAAGATCAATTGTACTGGCCTCTGGCTTAAACTAACAATGAAACACATTTTGTTGAAAACAAAGTCGTTATATCTACCTACCTAAAAGTATGATTTTTCACTAGGAATGAGATGGGTGACCATAGTACACCATTCCAGGTGGCTGAAGAGGCCTGAAATTAGGGCCCAGGGGTTGTTGGGTTGAAGACATTGGTTGTTGCTGATTTATTGGGGCCTGTTGTTGTGCCAATGGTAGCGGTTGCTGCTGAGGTATTTGCGATGGTTGTTGAGCCATGGACGCCATTGGACTGACCATATAGGGTGGGGGTGGGGGTGGGGGTGGAGGTGGTCCTGGAGGCAAGGGAGAAATGTTACCATAACCATATGGGGTCATAATACCTCCTGTTGGATGTAAATATTGCTGAGAGGACGGGTTGGGAAGCATGTGAAACTGAGCTTGAGTGCTTGAAGTCTGGTTCTGCATTGAAGGTTGGGGCAACAAAACCGACTGGTACGAGTGAGTTGTCGGAGCAGTAAGTGGCTGCGCTGGCATAAAAACATTTGGATCTGAAACAGGCAACGAGTTTTCCTGTTTTGACAATGAATCTTTGACTGACTGGATGCTCATGGATGCAAATGAATTTGATGGTGTTGAGGCCTTTGTTAATTGAGCATTCTTTGCTTCTTCAGCTGCAAATGTAGAGAGAACAGAGTGCATGATCATTTGAGAAGAGGAGGATGCAGCAAGCTTTTCTGCAACCTCAGCAGCAATATCTGCAGCTGTCCTCTTGGGTGTTTGTCCTGCTTTTGCATTTGAATCGACTGGTACTGTTGTTGCAGTAGATACTTTTGATACATATTCTTCACCATTAAGCCGCCTTCGCATGTTGCTGGCTTCCTCTACTTGTGCCTCTGCAACCTGAATTTGACCAAAAAATTTAAATGACTAAAACAAATGCTCCATCAATCATCATAACTTTAAGATATAAATAGCCCTGATGGGAACAAACACAAGTCTCGATGGCCAAAGAGGCTTGGAATTAGCATTTCTGAGTAGCAATGCTCAGTAAATTAATCAGAACCTATTGAACTGATTGCATCTGGAGGGCCAGCATTACAGAGTGGCTTAAAAGCATACAGGTCTTGAAAACATCCAAAATTGTAAAAAATCATTGAATATGTCCGTGTTATGAGAATGCACAGTCCAATGTTTTTCTATGTCAGTAATGCAAAAGGTATATTAATTGAGCTTCCAAAATACAAGGCGTCAAAAGAGAATGCAAACACTGATGTTGTTTCAGAACAAAACAAAATCAAAGGATTATTGGCTGAATCAAGGGCTATTAGGTAACAGGAAAAAATCTTTTTCACATTTCATATGCTGGAATATTATCAAATATACTCCAAATTAATCAGAGTACAACAGATATCCAGGATCCATCATCAGTAAGTCCGCTCAAACTCAGAATGCTTAATGAAAGAAGGTATGAACTTTTAACTAAACATTAAAAATGTATTTGGCTATTGTATATAGAACTTCACCTAACTCAACAAGTGTATAGGCTAGCATTTATAACATAGATTAATCAGTCTTGTACATCTACATTTCCAGAAATTTATATGACTGCCAACCATCCATGAAAACAGTTTCAACAGACGTTAGCACCCAAGCAAGGATAATCAGATAACTGCATTTATAAAGGCTAACAATTAACTAGATTGTGTGTTCTAGCAGAAATGTATTATCTGCATTCTATCAGCAAAACATGATCATGATTGACTGAGCAGCATACATGCACATTCTCCGTATATGCCCATTGTTTATCAGAACCCAGCATAAAATAAGTGAAAACATAATAAATATTTAAGGCCCAGAATGAACAAAATACATACCTGCATCTGAGTTCGAACTCCCTCCAGTTCAGATTCCTTGGAAAAAGAGGGAAAAAAAAGTCAAAACTTCATCGAATAAATAGAATTGCATAAACATGTGCATCTCATTCATTCACAAACACACTGGAAAAAATTCCATAGAAGAATACAAGGAGGGCAAGAGATCCTCCCCCACAGGAAATAAAAAAACTAATAGAGAGGAGCAATTCAATTGCTGAACACTTGCTAGGGAAACTCCATTAAAGTCCCTGCAGCTTTGCTCTATAGAGAGGACAAATAACAATTCTATCAGACTCTAGAGTTCCCCTCAGCCCAAACACCCCATATAATCACAGTTTATGCATAAGTTGATAATTGATATTTAAACTACTACTGAAGGTGATGATACAGTCAGATACCTGTTCATGTAGAGCTTCTTTTAACAGAGACACAAGCGCTACTCTACTTGCTTCAATTGATTTAAGTTTCTCAATGCTTTGTTTCAAAAGATTCTCTTCATCCTCTAGTTCCTTGGCCAAAGTTTTTGGTTTTGGATCGTTATCTGAGCCAAAAAAATTTGAGCTTCAGAAACCCACAAATTTTCAAAGTCAAAACTCAGGCTGTCAAAGATTTCAGGAGAAACATACAATTTCTGAAAAGTTGGGAAACATTTCCAAGAAACCAGTTTAATCTGTTTCTATATCAACTTCAATTTCATCTCTCTTACCATTATTACTGCTACATGCAATATCAACATCTTTCTCCATCTTCCTCACACGACGAACTGAAGACTTGCAATTACTCATCTCTGCCTCTTCATTGGGTTGCTCACTGACCACCAAATGAAATGCCGATACTATTTTTTCAGCAGCACCTCCTACAGATGATTTCTGGTTTCCAGAGCAATGACATAACAGTGAGACACCTTATCAAGAAAAAAAAGAGGTTGATAATATGTAACTAATGCACACACAAATAAAAACAAACAGAAGAGAAAAGGAAACAATGGAAGATCCTTTGTCGAACCGTTCTAGTGGATCGTGAATCTCGTTTTGCAATTTTGACGGAGCGTGAACGCTTTTTGCTGAATTCCAAGGGTGGAGGAGCATCTTCTCCAAGAATTACCTCTTTGAGGCTCCGGGCACGTGACCCAAATACCTTCCTTTCTTCCCATATATTTACCTAGTGATTATGTGAACACAAGTTTAATAATCTTAACCATCACTCCAACTTTCTTAATAGATAACACACCAACTTATACTTGTATCAATCCTCAACTAACATCTTACCAATCTAGAGACCGCATTCTTGCCACGGTCATCACCTTTCTCAACTACAATTTTAAGTGCTGCAGGAAGAACTTTCCAAAATTCAGTAACAAATTCGTTTCCTTTCCGCTTACTGTTCTGTAGGATGTCATTTGCAAGATACAATAGAGGCACTTTCTGGAGGTGATTTGAGTTGCGGAACTGTTTATCCCATGTCTCAACAACTAATTCTGCTTTGCTTCGGTGAAATATGCACCAATGTGACAAAGCTATACAATAAAGTTAAGGAAACATCCATACCAAGTCAATAGATAATCAAAATAATTATTCTGGAATAAATAGTAATATTCAGAGATAGACTTGCCAGGATCATTCCTCTAACTTAACTTAAAGCAGAAATACCAAATGAAAATAGAATCAAGTCAGACCCCAAATACATCAAGCAATGACTTTGAAAATAGATCCAGAAACTCAAAATAAACATAGGGTAAAACTATTAAAATCAGAATTAGCTGTATTTTCCCAAGAGGTAACACAATTTTCAATGCACTCCCAATTTTTTGTTTATAAATAATGGGCTGTCCAGAAGCAGCATCAAATACAAATTCATTCACTAAAAGCTCCCCATCTGTTAGCTATATACAAAGAACTGAAATCAAGCTGCAAGAATTTATTAATTCAATAAACAAGAAGAAGGATAACAAGGAAAGGAAGGATACTTTCAATACACTGCTGCGTGCCATTGAGCTTGGAAAGCTTATCTGCAAGTATCTCTTCACTAAATACACTATCCATATCACCTTAAACAATGCCTTTCAATAAACTCCACCAAAAGAAAAAACTTAAATCTAATAGATAACAAGCAAGAACTTGATAAATCTAATAGATAACAACAACTTACAATCACAAAAAATACAGCTACAACTATCCAAACTGTTGAAAGTTTCAATCTTTAAGCCCTAAAATATACGCAGATAAGGAAAGGGTGGTTTCAATTGCCAAAAAGAAAATAATAGCTGACCAAACTTGAGCTAATGCGGAGAAGAAGGGAAGAATGTGAATTGGAGAAAGATGGAGAGAAAAACCATAGATCGAAGTTAAAAGAAAAACAAACCCTAAAATTTGAAAAGGGGGAGAGAGAAGTAAAACGACCACATCGTCGGAATTAAAAGAAAGGAGAAAGGTAGTTAAAGATTTTTTTTTCTGGTACTGGTTTGGAAAACCCTAAATAAGGTTTTTCCTTTTTTGTAAGAGAAATAAAATTCAAGAGGAAGTAACTTAGTGCTGGAAGGGAACCCAGGACGGAAGGGACAACTATGAAACATAAAACATTATGTTTGTTTAGTGGATACAGACACAAAATCCAAAATTGTTTATCTGGAGCAAAAAAATTAAAATAAATAAATAAATCGAGTAATGACACGCAGGAAGAAAACAGAGATTGAAAATTTAATAAATTTTTATTACCATTGTGTCCTCATAAATATTTCAATTTATAGACTATACTATTAACATATCAATTTTGACCGTTTTATTATATGGATTATTTTCGACAATTAGGTTCGCTTAAAAAAAATGTCAAATATATAAAAGTAAAAGTCACAAGAATAAGAAAAATAAATAATAAATAAAAGAGATATCGAAAGAAAAATAAGAGAGATGAAGTTTTTTATTAACATACACTAATTTATTTTTCTCTTTCCCGCGGTGCAAGTGCAAGAATTTCATGACATAATAAAGATTATGTTTCTTTAAATGAAACCTTTAATATAGTTTATAGTTTTTTGTTAAGAGTATCCTTGATAAATATACCTATATAAACATAAAAGTGAGACCTTTTTCATAAAGAATAGGACAATTTTTCTAAATTATCCATAAAAGTCGGGATTAATTAAGGGTGAGCAAACGATTTTTTAATCAATTTTTAACGAATTCGATTTGATTTTCGATTAACTGAATTATCAAAAGCAAAAACCAAAATCGAGCAGAATTGGAATTCAAATTTTTCAATTAAAAAAATCGAAATTTCGGTTTTGGTTTTCGTTTTTTTTATTTAAATTGAATTTTTTATTCTTATTTTTTTTTTTAGAATTTAAAAAAGAAAAGAAAAATTACATTTTAACAAATCATTATATACAAATAAAATTAGAGAATTGAATAGAAGTCTTAAAAATTGAAATTAGATTAAGAAATACTAAAATTAACCAACCTAATTAAAGTTTAATTAACAACACTTTAACAACATCAAATTAAAATATAACTTAGGTTAAACACCAAATAAAAAATGTATAAAAAACTAGTTCAAAAAAGAAGCATTAAGATTATAATCATGATAATCATGCATAACATCTTATCATCATCAAATTCATCACTCTGTTCATACACGGATCTAACAAGCAAGCCGTAACTAATTTTCTAAATACACAATAATCAAACTTATTTCCTCTCTTTCTTTTCACAATCATAATTCCAAACCCTTTCTTCATAAAACCCCACAACGAACAAAAGAGGATGCATAGCTCGACGTCACAAAAGAGAGGCAACGAGGCACAAAGAAAGGGAAGGAAAGGGGTAGTATGTGGGCGTGGTTGTTTGTGGAGTGCGGATCGTGGGAGAAGAAAGGGAAGGAGAAGAAGACGGAAAGGGAAAGGAAAAGAAACGAAGAGACGCAAAGAAATGAAAGGAAAAAAGAAGAATAGGAAAAGGGAAAAATAAGAGACACAAAGAAAGGGAATGTGAAGAAGGTCGATTGTTGCTACTTTCTATTAGGTTAAGGTTGTTTTTCATTTGCCTTTTGTACATTAAAAAAAAAAATCAGTCTTTGGTTAAACCGAACACGGAGATTATTTTGGTTTTTTTTTTTAATTTGACTTTAAAAATCGAACCAAAATTGATATTTCGATTTAGTTCGATTTGACTTTTCTGTTAACGTCGAATTTTGCTCACCCTTAGGATTAAGCACATTACCGTAAAATTCGTTAGTGAGTACTTGAATATAATATGTGTGTTACAATATTTGTTTTTCTTAAAAAGCATTAGTTTAAGACAATGTTCACTATCGGTTTAAGAACAATATTGTTGAAACACTAAGTAATGATTCAAGTCATTGATACTCCTATTAAACATTATATTTGTTTCTTTATCCGATTATCCGACTAATATTTTTTTAAAATAAGTAAAGAATCGTTGGAGTATTTAAAAAATACATAGAAAAAAGAAGTCAAATCCATGTCGGTAGTTTGTATTGTTACAAAGTTGCTTGAGCAAGCAACAAAAAAATATTAAAAAATAATAATTAAAGGCAACCATTTCTAACTCGTTTGGAAAAAAATGATTACAATCATTATTTCTTCTCAAATGGTTGTTTTTTATAGTCTATATGTGTAAACACCTTGGCTTCTCTACATACATAGCTTATGTGCGAGTTATTAAAAAAAAATACCATTCAAAAGAAAAGATAGACGCATAGACAAGTGGCCCTTAGCACGGTTTGGAGAGCAAATAAAGCACGCCCGTGTGTGTTTCAATGAAAAAACACCCATCCAAAGATAAGAAGAGACACACGAGATAGTGTCATGTGGCATGGTTTGAAAGGTAAATTTAGCATGCTAGTGTGTCTCAAAGAAGAAAAGCCATTTCAAGGAAAAAGAAGACACGCAAGCAGATTCATGCGACACGATTTAAGGAACAATTCCATACACTCGTGTGTGTGTGTGTCTCAAGAAAAAATTACCAAAATAAAATTTCATTTTTGATATATATATTGGCTTGCCTCATCCATTTCAATCTTTTATCTTTTCTACTATGGACACTAATAAATTAAATGTAAAATGCATCATTCCTTATTCCTTATCATGTCACATTTATATCATTTAGGATTATATACAATCAAAATTTTCATTACAATGCAAATGCTTGTCATGATGAGAAAGAGGAGAGGGAGGTCGCCAACCGACCTCGTCACTCATAACAATCGATGAGCAAGAAAAGAGGTGAACTTTACCTTCGTGCCTTCTTAATGCCTAAAATGAAATTGCATTTTAATGAGATACTACTCAATGAGGGATAATCATTATCGATACCATAACACATATTTATATCATCAAACAGGAGCATATAAAAAAGTCATATAAATTCATGCATTATCATGTCACATATATCTTTTTTTTGTTAGTTATTACCTAAACACATCAAGTATCGCCCCAAAAACTTAAAACTTATAAACTTGTTTTGTTGGGTAGCTCTTATAGCTTGTATTTGACCCGTTAGATCCTTACAACTTGTATTTGTGGATATTTGAATGTATCAGTCATAACCTTACCCCTTTAATCAAGTATGCATTATGAGTGTCTCATATAACACATACTTATACATATCGTCATATATAAGTCATCATGAATCATATACAAGTATTGATTCACCATAAAAATTTGGAATAGGTTATTAATATCGTATAGCAAACAAGAAAACATAGCTTTAACAATCATTAGATATCTCAAACATATCCATTCACAAAATGGAGTCCCGTGATGTTTTTCAACTCGCCACGTCTTGTACTTTGTGATCTCGGGGGTCTAATATATATATATCATCTCATAAGTTATTTTATCATTCATGAACTTCTAAAACTTCTAAAATGAAAAATAAGAAACTTTAGTCAACCTAATCCCTTTAGCAATAACATCACTTTTCTTTACTTTTTTAGCCTTATATCACAAAATATAAATCCAAATAACCTAATTTTAATTTTTTATAAGACTAGACTCATATTAAAATAACATATCCAAAAAATGACCCTAAATTCCAAGCACATAATTTATAGAAATTTTATGAAATCTTCTCCTGTTGTAGAATTTTCTGTCTAGAACATAACGACTAGATGGCGAGAGGCTCGGAGAAAAATATACTTGTTCATTTTGTCCCAAATTTAGTAGGTTACTAAATTAGATTATAATCTACAACTTTCATGATTTGATAAAACTCAAATTCTAATCTTAAAATATTGATAATTGTAATTCAAAATCAAGATAGAATAAAAACTTAACAAAAATCACAAAACACCTCACCTTTCTACAAGTTTGATTAAGAGCTTGACTCAATTTATCTAAACCTCAAGTTAACTTCCTCTAAATCAACTCTTTTCCTTAATTTCTTCTTGCTCTAAGATGGCCGTAGGTTAGTTTTGGTTGCTAAATTAGGTTTCCCTTATGATTCCTCACTTGCTTTTGATTTTTCTCTAGATTTTTCTCTCTTCTCTTGCTTTCTTTTTAACTAGCTATGGACAACTCTAACTCTCTCTCTCTTTCTCTCGCTAGGGTGGTCAGCCATGATGAGCAAAATTATAAAATCTACTCTTGGAAGAGTGTAGAGAATTTTTAGGATTAGTTTAAGTGTTATTTTGATAAAGTTTCTATAAGTCCCTTAACTAAGTCTAATTTAACACTTAACTCCCTTGACCACTAAACATATTTCTTAAATCCTTCTAACATGTCATATGTATATAAATTTGTATTCATGTATGTCTTTATTTATGCATATATTTATAAACGAGTAAAATTTTTAGGACGGGGATATTACAATACGCCTCCCCTTTAAAGAATTTCACCCTCAAAATTCTTTTACCTACATCGAGGAACAAATAAGGGTAATGTTGATGTATATACTCCTTGGTCTCCCAAGTTGCTTCTTCTTTGCATGGTTCTTCCATAGAACCTTCACCATTGGCATTTCTCTATTTCTCAATCGTCTTAGCTTTTGGTCGAGAATTTGCACTCGGTTTTTCAATATAACTTAAATTGTTAGACATCTAAATCTCTTCGATCCGTAATACATATGAAGGGTTGTATTGGTACTATCTTAACATACTCACATAAAAGACATCATGAAGTTATGCCAACTCGAAGGTAAGGTCAATCTATATGCAAGTGGACCAATTCGTTCTACAATCTCATACGACCTAATATAATGAAGACTTAACTTTCCTTTCTTATCAAACCGTAACACTCCCTTCTAAGGTGAAACTCGAAGGAAAACTTTATCACCCACATTATATTCCTTTTCTCATCTATGTTGATCCATATAACTCTTTTATCGATCTTGTGTCGTTTTTAACTTACTTCGGATCATCTTTACTTTATCCATGGTTTCTCATATCAATTCAAGACCTTTTATTATTCCTTTTTCATCCTAATATATTGGACATCGACACTTTTTACCATATCAAAGCTAACGTGGTGTGTGATAGAGCATGATAACTTAGTTGAATGTACCATGTAGGATTTCACGTAGGATCCACGTGGTCTCATAAATAAAAAAATCCAATTAAAAGAAAACGCAAACCCTCCTTAAACCCGAAAGAACCTCTCACACTTTATCCCCTACCTCCAGGTCGTGCCCACTATTAATCTCCTCCCTCACAATCAAGTTTCCTCCATCACTCGCCTCTCACCTCACTTTCCTATAAATATATTCAAGTACTTATTATAATGGACTAATTCATAAAAATCATTCTCCTACCATGTCTCATATTTTATATCATTTACATAAAAGATTAGAAGGAGATAAGGTAATAGAATGAATGTTTAGCTCTAAAAGTAACCGGCATTTTTGTTTTTATAGGGTATGTTACTAGGCGGACAAGAAATAGTCATGAAAAAACTTTCAAAAACCTTGGCTTAAAGATTTGAGGAATTCAAGAATGAGGTAACGCTTATTAAGAAACTACAACGTGTAAATCTTATGAGAATTTTAGGATTTTTCATTGAAAGAGAGGAGCGGATGCTCGATTTATAAGTATATGCCAAATAAAAACTTAGACTATTACCTTTTTAGTTTGCATTCTATTATGTTTTGATTTACTTTTCCTAAGCAAATATTGAACATGATTCTAGTTTTGAACTTCTACATTAAGTTTTCTAGATAATATATATATATATATATATATATTTGTATTTTGCTTCTCTAGTGCTTTTAACATTGCTTGTTTGTTTTCTAATATGATTTAGACCCAATTAAATGATATCTCGTTGTATTGGATAAAACAAATGGAAATTATCGAGGAGATTACTCAAGGCTTTCTATATCTTCAAGAATATTTGAGACTAACAATTATCCATCGCTACCCGAAAGCCGGTAACATATTACTCAATAATGAAATAAAGGCAAAGATAACAGATTTTGGTTGGTAGGATTTTCATAAAAGATGGACAGAAAGAAAATACGAGTAGGATTATGGGGACATAGTGAGTACATTTCATATCAAAGTTATTTTGGGTTAATGGGTTTTGAGGTTAGTTATGGTAGGTGATGTTTCGGGGATTACTATGTTAGATATATGGGTTAATAGGTTTTGGGGCTACAATGATGGCTTTGTGGGTGGTGGCTATTATGGAGGAGAGGAGCGAGTTGGTTTGACTATGGAGGATGTCGAGTTTGTTGGTTCCAAGGTCGGTTGTGTTGGGTGATGAATGATAGTGGATTTTGGCTAATGGTGGTCGACGATCATAATTGGCAAAAGTGGTTTCGACTGTGGTTATGTGAGTGGCGGATAGTGGTCTTATTTTTTAGGAAAAGATGCACGGATGAACGATTCCTCTTAATTGGGTTAAGGAAGGTTTAGGGTTTATTTTTAATTGGAATTTTTTTTTTCATTTAAGAGGTCATATGGATCCCGAGTGGCATATTCAATCAAGTTGTCATGTTTTATCATATGCCATGTCAATTTTGGTCAAAATTTAAGCCAAAAAACTCATATGTGCTAGTATTATTACTAGAACTCTAGTTCGTGACCTTTCTATTCAAAATTAAAGGAATGAGTTAAAATTCTTAAAAAGTGTAAAGTTCGTAATTTTCTAGTACATTAAGCTATTCCAAAATGGTAACTTCATGTTTAAAACTATGAAATTTTCCGGCAATAATGAGTTGGATGATAGAAGGCTAATAGGACGAGTGTTATTTTGTTATGATAAATATTTATGTGGCCATAAATGTAAAGAGAAACAAGTGTTTATGTTAGAACTAAAAAAGTGTGGGGTTAATAAGAATGAGAATGAAGTGATTATCGGATAAATTATGAGTGCAAAATTTAAGAATATGGGAAATTTTGCTAGAGAATTGTATTAGATTTCAATATATGTAGTTTTTGAAAGGAATCATTATCAAATTATGAAAATTATAGAAGACTTTCATGGTAAAAGAATGAATATTTTGGTGGACCTTTGCAGCACACATAATTTTGTTGATTTGGGATTTGTAAAGAGGAATCATTATATATTGGTTATAATTAAACCAATAACGGTTAGAATAGCAGATGGTGGAGATATTATGTATGAATACATGTGCAATAATTTCAAGAGGAAAATGCAGCGGAAGATTTTTTAGACTATAGTTTTTGTGATGCATTTAACAATGTATAAAATGATATTAGAGGCAGCATGGTTATATACATTGGGAGATATAACTTATAATTTTTTAGACTATAGTCTTTCTTGCTCATTTAGATTCCTATTAAATGACATCATATCCAAACTTGGATCTGTTATTCCACATTGCTAAATTGAAAGTGTGAGCTAGAACCTGGAAATCATACACTTACCTGAGGGCTTCTTCAACATATAACTTTTGCGAGGCCTTGGGCTGGGTTCAAAGAAACACTAGTGAAACCAGATGATAATGCTTCCAAAACCAAAAGGCCTTGTAAAACATTTTTCTCCAGAACTTGCATATCTGGTAAGAAAAACTAGAGAAACTGCAGGCTGTTTCTTTAACCATTCACAATTTCCCCTTTCCGTTTCTTTTTCAATTCGGAAGCAACTCTGAATGTGGAGACTATAAGATTTTTGAAGATCTAAAATGATAAAAAAGATTATAAAAAAAATGATATAATGTAGCTCCCATTTTTCCATCCTATTTTGACTTCTTCTCTGATATTTTTCTTCCTATTTGAGATGTTTTTCTATAAAATATTTTTCAAATAGCCAAAGATATATAGTCGATGGAATCCACTTATGCCATGGATAAATACAAAGAAAACGAAAAGCGGGTGGGCCACACAGTCCTAAATATTTCATAAACAATGTCTTTAAGAAAATATCGTGATTACCCGAACTAGAAATTCATGAGTTTAATTACATTAGAATTAGAATGACAGTAAAAACTTTGTTTGTTCTTCAGAGACCCACAAATTTTCAAAGTCAAAACTAGGCTGTCAAAGCATTTCAGAAGAAACGTGCATTGTCTGAAAAGCTAGGAAACATTTCCAAGAAACCCCTTTAATCTGTTGCTATATTAACTAAGTTCATCTCGCTTACCATTACTGCTACAGGCAATATCAACATCTTCCTCACACGACGAACTGAAGACTTGCAATCACTCTTCTCAGCTTCGTCATTGGGTTTCTCACTAACCACCAAATGAAATGCCGACACTATTTTTCCAGCAGCGCCTCTGATGGGTGATTTCTGGTTTCAGAGCAATGACATAACAGCGAGACACATTATCAAGGAAAAGAAGAGGTTGATACTATATAACTAATGCACACACCCATAAAACAAATGGAAGAGAAAAGAAACAATGAGAGGCCCTTGGTCTAACCGTTCTAATGGATTGTGAATCTTGTTCTGTAATTTCCAGAGCGTGAGCGTTTTTTGCTGAACTCCAAAGGTGGAGGTGCATCTTTTCCAAGCATTACCTCTTTGAGGCTCGAAGCACATGACCCAGATACTTTCCTTTCTCCCCATCTATTTACCTGGTGATTATGTGAACACAAGTTTAATAATCTTAATCACCACTCCAACTTTCTTAAAAGGTACTCCACCATTATGCACATCAACGGCATCTTATACTTCTGTCAATGCTCAACTAACATCTTAACAATCTAGAGACCACATTCTTGCCAAGGCCATCACCTTTCTCAACTAAAATTTTTATCGCTGCAGGAAGAAGACTTTCCAAAACTCAGTAACAAATTCGTTTCCTTTCCTCTTACTGTTTTGTAGGATGTCATTTGCAAGATACAATATCTGAGTTGCGGAACTGTTTATCCCATGTCTCAACAACTAATTCTGCTTTGCTTCGGTGAAATACGCACCAATGCGACAAAGCTATACAATAAAGTTAAGGTACATCCATACCAAGTCAACAGATAATCAAAGTAATTAATCAAAACTTTCTGTAAGAATTAGGGATAGTCAGATATAGGTTTGCCAGAATCATTACTCTAACTCGATGAACATTAAAGCAGAAATACCAAATGAAAAAAGAATCAATGTCAGACCTCAAATACATCAAGCAATGACTTTGAAATCGATCCAGAAACTCAAAAATACAAATAGAATAAAACTATTAAAATCAGAATTAGTTCTACCAAATGAAGGCAGTATTTTCCCCACGAGGTAACACTATTTTTCTGTACAGAGAACTGAAATCAAGCTGCAACAATTCTTTAATGCAATAAACCAGAAAAGAAAAAAAAAAAAAAAAAGGATACATTCAATACGCTGCTAGTGCCTTTGAGCTTAGAAAGCTTATCTGCACCTATCTCTTCACTAAACACACTATCCATATCACCTTGAACAATACCTTTCACTAAACCCCACCACCAAACCCTATAAGAAAACACTTCAATTCTTGAAACCAAGCAAGAACCTCTATAAATCCAATAGAAAACGGCAGCTTGCAATCATAACAACACACCTGCAACTATCCATGTAGATTCATCAAAACAAATTATTTGCTGCAGGGAAAAAGAGGTGTTGAGATTTAGGCCATTTGGCGCAAACCATGAAAAGCAAACTGATTTTACTTTTCTGTGCGCTGTCTTTTTTTTTTAATTTTTTTAATTTTTTTTAATTTTTTTTTTAAATACGGATAGATCCCAAACTTGGAGACTTGAGACTATACAAATGATGGAAATCCCAGGTTTTAATATCAATAATATAACCAAATAAAAGTTTTGAATGAGCTTTTTTTTGGCACGACCATAAGTCAACATTATGAGAAAAATTATGGAATGTGTTATCCAGATTTTTTTTTATGATTATTAAAAGTTTTATTTTAGTTGGTAAGAAAATGCCAATAATGTAACGGATTGGATTCAGCAATCAGTTGCCAAAAAAGAAAACACAATGGTTGTTTCTCTTCGAAAGGAAGGCCAATTTGATTGTTTCTTCCTTCGTATTTTCTAGAATTACTTCTCACAATTATCAAAAACATAATTTCGACTTTCACAAATGACTTTATTTTCTTTCAAAAACACGAATAACGGTCAATCGAACCCAGGCATACACCGCTTAGTCTCCAAAGAAAGGCGTTGGCGGTAGCCGCTACAGATACATGAAAATAGGCTAAGGATCGTTCATAGAAGAACCACGACTTCTTATATCACCTTTATAGTAAAACGATCTCTTTTTTCATTTTTTCCTTCTCCTGTGGGATCACAGACACCGGCAAATAATTCTACTAGTACAAACCCCTCATTGGGGTCACAATCCTTAAACCTTATTGATACTGCCTGCCAATCTCATGTGACAACTCACCACTCACATGTCCAAAACCAAAAGCTACCGAAGGTAAATAATACTCATATGACCATATAACTGCTAACAGAGTAGAAATGAAAATCAACGAAGTTTTGATTTTTAACTGCTACACTAAAATCATGTAGTAGCCTATAAGTAGAGGCATATCTAGATGGGTAATTTCATAAAACTAATACTTGGCAATAGAAAAGCTTGCTGTATCCATAACTGAATCAAAACTTGCCACTTCAGTACACAGCAGATAGGAATAAAATCCAAAACTGAAGGATGAAGGATGAGTGTTGTAGACTCCAAAATATTCTAAAAAAAGAAGGGGAAAATCTAAATTAAAAATAAAAATATATCTGCTGTAAAACAATGGAACCGGAAGAACAGTCTGCTCAATGATCACCAGGGACAGTCTTGATGATATCAGAATCACCTGTACCACAAAGAAAAGAGTGACAGTGAGGCAAATGTCAATGACATAAAGCAGTAGCAAAATATAAGGTTCCGAACATAATAATTTCTTTCAGTATTACCTGCATCAATAATGCTCAGGCAAGATACACGGAAATACTTGCCACAAGCAGTTCCCAAGTCGACATTGTCTGCAAAACACAAAAAAGGGACAAGAATGAGGCCAGGGAAAATGTTCAGTTTCCTGGTGCATGCAACATTCAGTACGACACCCTCTTAAATGAAGACATAGGGACAAATTATTAATCACATTAAAGTTGATATGATTCAAGTGATTTAACAAAATATGAAAATGGAAATGAAAAAAAAAAATCAACTTTTATGTGAATACATCATTTTGTCCGCGCGCGTTAATTTTAAATGGATGCTGCACAGAGTGGTGGGTACTCCTTGAGTTTTCACAATGGTAACTGCATCTATGAACTAGCTACTGTATAGTTGCAAAAAAAACCAAGAAATTAAAAGCAAAGAGTGGATAACAAGTTACATAATTGGTCAATTGTTGGCCTCAAAGCTATCTGTGTAAATTTATCAACATAGATTGTCTAGGCCTGCAAATTCACATTGAAATCCTGGGTCTCCAAAGATATATTGAACGCATCCAACAAAGACTTTTTAAGAACTCTTAGGTGATCTAACAATGAGACTGCGATGGCTGCACTGACTGAAAGTTTGGTAACAATCAAGTCAATCAAATTCAAATTTGTAAACATGGTCAATGTTGCAAAACCTTTCTGATAGAAAACAAAAGAACATAGCGAAAATGCACATTAAAACAGTTGACTGACATTAACCCAAAAATTCAAATCATATTCACTACAACATCATCAAAATAATCATAGTATCCACAAATACAAAAGCAAGAAAGACATGTATTATTAAATCAAAACAATTCTCCATCGAGCTCAACCAATATGATAATAGATGCTGATACAAAAAAGAAGGAAACACTTACTTCCATTATAATGATGAACCCCAACCTTCGCAAGCATAGCATAATACTCAATCTCAGATTTCCTCAAAGGAGGGCAATTGTTTGATAATAAAATCAATTTTCCTGCATTATAACCAATCACCAAATAAACTCAAATTAAACCCCAGAAAAAGCCTATTTAAAAACTAAACAAAAAATCAAAATTTAGATCTTGAACATAGAAATAAAAACATGTCGTAGAAACAAAGAAAAAAACCTTTGGAGCTCCTTAGAGTTTTAAGCACAGTTTTGTAACCAAGAGTGTACTTTCCACTCTTCATCACCAAAGCCAATCTGTTGTTGATACTCTCATGGGTCTTCTTCTATAATATTCACAACAACAAAAATCCCAGCAAATAGAGAATTTAGACAAAATCAATAGTCAAAATTTCAATAAAACAGATAAACTAGTGAATTAAAAGAGAACAGAAAGGGATTTACAACAAGTGAATTAAATGGAATTAAAAAAAGAAGAGCAAGTATTTACAGTTTTCTTTGACGTCACCATTTTGATATTGTGTTTTCCTGGAAAAGAATAAATTTTGACAAAAAATTAGGCTAAAACGAACGAACTTTGGTTATTGCGATGCTAAGAAAGTTCAAAAGTAGCTTACAGCGGTTCGAGTTTATTGCGCTTTAGAATCTGAAGCTCAAAAGAAACCCTAGAAGCTGGGCGGCATGTATAGAGAGAGCAGTAGGGTTTGTGTGTTTCTTAGCTTATATGTGGCTTGTTTACCCACGTGCAGTTCACGTGTTATTTTTATCCCTTCTATCTATTTAGTCCTCGAAGAGAAACTTAACTCAATTCTATCCCTATAATTTTACCAATTGTGGGAAATTATGTTTTGAGGAAAACCAAAGGCTATAGCAAAAATTGTTTCCCGATCATCATGATTTATAATATCCACGATATGGTTCTTTTCAAAATAAAATTTGTTACCTAGCATGTAGAGGTGTTTTCAGAACGAAATTAAGATGATAAGTGTTCATCAAATGGACATGATATTTTAAAATTAATCACCATATCAATGATTTCGGTTGATGATCTACGGTCAATTCTAGCGATGATAAAAAGTTATCGATATTTGACACTACTTTTTTAATATTAGAATCAAAGTAAAACATAACTAAATTATCTAATGTTTTTTTATGGACGTAGAAGGCAGTTGATAATACTGTCATGAAAATAAAAATAAAATAAAATAATATTTACTAGATATTTAAATAGAATTTATCTTCATTTGTATAGAATGGTTTGTAGGGATAAATCTTGTGCATATATTGTGGTAAACTCGAATGATTGAAAGAGACATTAAGACTACCGCACAGGAATTTCTACAACTTTTAGTTCATTCAAATGTGAAATTAGCAAATTTTCTTCAAGCATGAAAAGAAATGCAGGCATTTATACAAAAACAGAATTCTACAGAATAAAGCAGATAGAAAGTAGCACCACAAGGAATTTAGATCCAAACAATTTAAGATTGGGTCCAAGTTCTTGTTCAACAGAGAAAAGAAAAAATACGTCCACATGAAGATCATTCCACTCATAGAGTGCTCTCAATTCACAAGTTTCTAATGCTGAAAAAAACTTAAGCTTTGACAACAAGAAGTCTTCCAAAAACCAAATCCAGCATCGAACCACATCCCTCTGCTTGGCTGGAACCATTCCTTCCTACAAGCAACACCTGCAGACCTGCAAACATGCAATTATGTGATACTATCTTAACATTTTCTAACATAATCCTAAGAGCAGCCAGGGAGGTAAATAATAGCCCAGCCAGAGAGGTAAATAATAGCCCAGTCCCTACTGCTTGATGTTTTTTCTACGTTGTGCAAGTTTTGCTGCAACTTGCTCTTCTGATAACGGTAAGTAGTAGATCCGAGGAGCTGTTTTGGTCTTCCGAAAGAGGTCATCCAGAGTGACAATTGGTGGATCATGTTTCTCAGGAAGTGGAGGAGGTGGAGGAAGATCAACCCGTTCCCTGGTATGGGGTGGGTTAGATAGTGGTGGTGGAGGTGGAAGGGAAGGAGGAGGTGGAAGTTGCTGCCTAGAAACCTGTTGACGGGGAGAGGGCTGTGGCTGCAGGGTGGGAGGAGCAGGTGTAGCCGCACTAGGAGTGACAGGAGTAGCTGGAGACTGAGGAGGAGCATCCACCCTCATTTTCACTTCCTGAGGGTCAACAAACTCGGCCACTAAAAGCCGTCCACCATTTGGTGGCCATTGTAGGTTATAAACAGCATTTCGTGTCTCGATGGCCTCTTCCACAGATGAATACTGCACAAACAAAGTGTTCAGAAACCTGGTAAGTTGCAAGTATTGCAAAGACCTACTAAAAACTACATAAAATAATATATGTATAAAGAAAGAGTGTTCCACATTAAATGTGCCCAGTCCAGATAACACAAGAGAGACAGAGAAATGTTATACCGTAATGTAGCAATGGGTTTTGATATGATCCATCCAAAAACTGGTGACACTCCCAGTTTTGCCCAGAAGTTCTTGGACAGCTTTTAGAGTAAAAGGACGCAGAAAACGATCAATTCTGAGAGAATTGGTTGGAGGTTTTTGTGATGGTGGAACTGCCAGGTAACAATGATAGAACAAAAATGGGTCAGATGTCAAATTGTCCCTGGAGACCCTTATATTCCAACTAAAAGAAAAATAACTCACCAACGCGTTCCTTGGGTGCCCCCTCACTAACAGAGGAGTCAGATCGGGAGAAGTTGCGTCTCAAAGGAGTCGGCTGAAACCCATCCTTAGGTGTGGTGGTGGGTGTAAGATTAGAGCTTTGCTGTTCAGGAACCTTGATGCTCTCAGAATTCCATCTGCGTTGCCGCTTTAAAGGTTCTGTGCTTCCAACAGTTTCTTGATCTGTAAACAACATATGAAATAAATTGACAAAATGTGTTATCACCCTTCCTTGTGAACTATTAACTTAACAGAAGAAAGAGAAGGTTGAGAACAAATTTGTACAACTGCTCAAGAGGCAGCTATCATACAGAACCAAATAGCCACACTTGTTTTCCAAAACAAAAAAACCAGAAAATCTGATATAAGGCATAAAATCACATAACCAATGTAAAATCAAAGCAGTTAAGGGAATATGATGTAATAAATCAAATAGACATGTCAATGACCAACAAAAGCAGCAGCTTCCTGAATAAAGATGATTGTCATTTCTCTGTGAGTTGCAATTCCGTGTAATTTAAGCAGGTTCCTAACGATATGCACTCCTTTGTCCGCAGAGTTACTTCAGTAAAAGTATAAGAGCATATAAAAACACAAAGTTGTATTGATTCCTAAATAACCTAAATTCAAAACTAGAAACAGGAGGACATATGGCCACCGGAAAGAATTTGAGGCAGAGGCACTAATTTAGATGCTTATTAAATGCCATCATATCCAATAACCTTCAGCTGCAATATTCAAATCATATTAATATACCTTCAATTGTGAAATACTTGATCCTAACACAAGTTTCAGGTATATATTAGCATCAGACCTTGAAGATAAAAAAGACATTGCATAAAAATATGAAAACCAAAAACTAAAAGGCATGCACCTCCATATTCAATTCTCACATATTTAAAAAACCAAGGTACTTCAGCTGACAGCAGAGACCTAGAAGAGCGTCCAAACTTGAATAAGTTTCTCCACATTGCTTAAACGGTACTAAATTGAAAGTGTAAAATAGACCTACAAATCCTACACTTATCTGAGGGCTTCCTCAACATATAAGCTTCGACGGCCTTGGGCTGAGTTCAAAGAAGCAATAGTGAAACTAGATGTTAATGCTTCCAAAAGGTCTTGTAAAACAATTTCCTATTTTGTCCATTTCTTTTTCAATTCGGAATCAACTTTAAATGTGGGTACAGAAGATTTTTTAAGATCTAAAATGATAAAAAAGGTCAAATAAAAATTTTGAACTCAAAAAAGAAGACAAAAGAGTTATGTAGCTTAACACAATAATTCTGAAAAAGAGAATTTGGGTGTGGCTGTGAGCTGTAATAGAACAGATGGCCATGGAAATTACAATGCACAATTTCATTTGGAGGCGTATTAAGGGCAAATGCAAATAATTGCAGCCTTGCATGTCTTGGGCCTAATCCAAAAATTTATGTAGTTATAATGATCTCAGGGAACCACAATTTCCTATTTCCACGTAGAAAATCTGGAGACAGCATACTTAATCCTTTTCGCTTAGCAAGAAAAATTTCAAATCATCAACTTAATTGCAATGAGCAAATATTACATAGCAATGAAAGCATAAAATCTCAATTATTTAAATCCAAAATTAGATCACTCATGCAAAAATTCATCAAACTAAATGCTCTTTTAAAGAAAACTATTGGTAAGCATACTAAAGCATGGCAGCAGCCTAAATGCAAGTAAAATAACCAGAACTCAGAATCACATCTGGTCATTAATAACTATTGAAAGGCACAAATAAATCATAATTACAAAACCCACGTGCCAAAACCATGTAAAACAGCATCTGTGAAGTCCACAAAATGTAACAGTCAAACTTCTTATAAAGAACAAATCTTACCATTAAGCTTTCTTTTCTCCACAGGCACAACTGGACAAATCTTATTCTCAACACGGATCTCCTTTTGATCAATAGACAAGTCCTTTCCAGCAACATCAACAAGATTTTCCTCCTTCACAATGGACACTTCATTTTTCTTTTCACTCCCATCACCCACTTCATCAGAATTATACTTTGAATCAATTTGCTTACTCTCTAGAACATCTTCCTCCATGGAGTCATCACCAGAACTCCTGTCTAAATTCAACTTTTCTGAGTACCCCACATCAACACTATCATTTTTCTTGCTCATATCTGCATTTGTACCATTGCTGTCATCTTTCTCTTCAACAGATTCCCTCTTCTCTGGTGGCTCTTCAACATCCATCGGATGTGATTCGCCACCAACTGGGACAACATTACTGGATGATGGTTCCACCATCTCTGGCTTAACATCATCTAGTTCTAATTTGACATTATCAGCAATTATATTATCCTTTAGTTCAATCTTTTCATTAATTGATACAGAATCAGTAGAAATAGAATCAGATTTTACTTGAAACCCTAAATTAGGGCTGACCTCAGATACCTGGTTGTCTGGAGCAGAAGACTCAGGCACGACATTCTCGTCTGGAGGCTTCAAACTCTCATCCTCCAGCTGGGGCTTTAAATCCTCATTCTCCAGCTGGATATTTGAGTTTTCATTCGCCTCCTGTGTTCTAGAATTTTGCACATCTTGCCCACTCAATGCTACTTCTGACACCACACACTCAGTAACAGTAATACTGGTCTCCACAGTAGTTGCATTAGCAGTGAACTCCTCTTCTACCCTAGAAGAATCAATAACACCCATTTGGACCTCCTCTTGAAGTTCTCCAGGACCCGTGGCTTTCACACTCTCATTGATGCCAACCTGAACCGTAACATTATCAACATTCTCATCTTTGTTGGTGGCATCATCCACAACATCTTTAACTGTCTCAGCAACAACTGGTACTGCTTCTGCATTTCCCACCCCAAATATAGGGGGGTCTCCAAATCAACACCATTATCCGCATCCACCACAACCTTGGCAGCATTTTCCTCCTCACTGCGAAGGGCTTCATGATTTTCCCTCTCAATGCGAAGTGCTTCATCATTTTCCTTCTCAACACGAAGTGCATCATCCAACCGTCTAATCAAATCATCCTTCAAACCATTGGTTTTCAATCTCCGCCTTTTAAGCTCTTCTTTTAACTCAGTAACCTTCCACTGGTCTATGGATTTCGTTCCAAGAACTGGGTATGGTGAAGACATGCTTTCCAACTAGAATCCCCCTCAAATCCTGAATAAAACACAAAAGTCAACTCGCATTCAGCAACTTAAACAAAATCTCACAACTTTACTACAATTTTCAAGAAATAAAAGGCAATCGTATCAGTAAAGTTAACACGATTTCAACATTGATTAACAAGAAGCCAGAAATCAAACATTTACCAAATTCACTTTATCAATAATTAGCCCAAAATCCATATCCAACAACACAAACCCATTTCAGAAAATTTAAAATAAACAAAAACCCATTATAAAAATTCACTTCGTAAACCAAATTCTCTCATCGTCCACAACCTATCTTCCAGAACAAAAATCCCAAAACAAACAAAAAAAATTTACTGCGTCACAGAAAAATTACAAATTTCACAATGTATAAAATTCTAAATAATAATAAAGAAATGAATGCAAAACTATATGAACCAAACACAAAGAGAGAGAATTGACGGCTAACTTACAGAAATAATGTATTGGCTGCACTCACAATAGAAACGGATATATAAAACCCTAAATTTCACAACTCGAAAGCCACCATTAGGGATTACAAAACCAGACAAAAGAAAACCGCAATTATCAGCGATTCAGTTGTTTTCCTGAAACAGAAAGACCAAAACAAAAGGCAAAAACAAAAACATGAAAAAGAAAAAGAAACAAATGTACAAAAACTCTAAAATGAAAAACTGAGAAAAAAAGAGTTTTTTTTTTCTTTCTTTTTGGAGGGAGAGGAGATTGTTTAGGGTTTCGGTTTTCTTATCGAGAAAATTATAGAAAAGGAAGAGCGTGTTTGAGTCTTGCTTGGTACTTAGAAATGGTACCGCATATTTTGATTGTCAAATACCGGATTTGCCCCTTACGAGCGTGGGAATGTTTTGCCTCACGTGCGGTGTTCGTGGTCAGTTACGGGAAGCGTGCGTTCTGGCGTACCGGATTTTCACTTCCCTCATTGAATGGGTACTTGCTTAATAAAACAGATGATGCCACTAACCATATGAGCTAATAAATAAGTATGGATTTATAAATTATATTTAGATTTAATTTTTGTGATTGATATTTTTAAAATATTTAAAATCATGATTTAAAAGTGCTTTATAACCCAGTTTAGAAAGAAATTAATATCAAAATTGCAAAATCGGATTCGAAAATATTTTTATTATTGAAAAAAAAAAGAATAATGCTAATTAAAAACTAAATAAATTTAATCATATTTACACGAATAAATACTAATATTGTACAATTTTTGGATCATTTACTTCATCTCTATCTATTTGTGTCATATTCATTTTTATCCTAGTAAAAGAGTAAGTAGAGTGGAAAGATTTTAATAATTGATTGTTTTATTTTTCATAAAATGAATAAATTTCAATAGTTATGGGATTAAAACGTTTGACATCTAAAATGAAAAGGATGCATGGATGGTTATGAAAGTATTGCTCAGAAGTACCTAAATTTTTTTTCACAAGATTCAGTAATGAGTTATATAGACTTAAGGTAGGATGACAAATTTTTTCATCCAAAAACGCATGGTCTAAAGCTCATCTACGATTCCCAAATCCTTAAAATATTTTTGCACAGCCATTTTTGAAGGATCCTGCTTGAATGTTAGGTTCCAACCTTCAAGAAATACTTAATAATAATAATAATAATACAATTATACCACCCTTTTTAAAGATCTTGGATTCCCACTTGTCTTATCCGTACGGAAAATCAAGAGAAAAACAACAAATTGTTTTTGTTTCTTTATGAATTCGTGTTCCAAAAACATGAGAGAAATTGACAGCAAATGTGTCTATTATATAGCAATTTCTGGAAAAGTTTACCTCAAACTTGGATCTGTATTCTTTGACTATCTTTTTTAATTGAAATTGAAACCTTTTTATTTTTTTAGATTTCTTATTCTTTCCTTTTTTAGATTTTTTACTTTAAATATTTTCTTATAACGTCATCAATCAGTTATTAATATCCATTTTACTCTTCAAAAATTCTTACTTTACATGCTGCGTGTTGATCATTGATTGATTGATGACATTATAACAGAGTCTGAAGTAAAAAAATTTTAAAGAGTAGAGAATTTTAATCGATCCAAAAAATAAAAATAAAAAGTCTCCACAAAAAAGATAGAAGAATAGATGATTTAAATGGGAGAAAAAACCTTTTTCTAAAGTGTACTGCGGACATCTAAAAGAGACATTAAGGACATTATAGTTGGAGCTGCCCCGCATACTTGATAACACAGTCGCATGCCTTGAGCACCTGGTAACAATTAAAGCAACTGCATGTCGGCATGAAACGTAAGTTTCCACAATCAAAAACCTATCTGTTAGTTTTCTTCCATGACTCAAAGACAGAAAAGAGGAGGAAACAAAAAGAGAATCATATAATCCTGCAGGATAAAAATACATGTCGAGAGCCGATACTATCAGCCAAACATGAGACCATCTTGAAACCACAATTTCGAGAGCACAAATGCAGTCCAGCCTTCTTGTATCTTGCTCCGTTATCACCACCGTGTTACGAGTTCATATTGTTGTCCTCTCACTGATTTGTAAGTATGATTCTATCTACTCGCTTTCGTCCTCACTTTCCTTAAAGTTCAAATGATTCATATTCCTTTCTAGTGGTGGAAGCCCATCTTCAGAATCATCAAAAGAGCCTTCATTTTCACTTATTTCAGCTCCTGTAGCACCATAAACCAGATGCTATAGGGTCAGAGTGAGATGTTAATTTTGCATGCTATAATTAATATCCTCATAAAATAAATATATTTTCCTCAATGAGATTCCAAGCATCAAGATTCACATCAGGAGTCTAATGAAAACTGCCATGATACGACTTTCCTGATTTAAAAAAAAAAAAATTAAGACAAGCTGGGTCCATTGGAAAATATGCAGAGGGATTCATGGAAGAAAAGGAACACATACATTAAACTTGATCACTGAATGTATTATAAAATTAAGAGTATTTTGAGAAGATCGAGTTAGGCCTGCCTTGCTCGCAACCATCCCTTGCCTATGTTAAAAAAGGAGTTCCAACAGCAAGGCACTTCACTAAAAATATAGTTACATGGTGTATTGGAGCCAAACATTGAGTAAAATTACCAGGAAATGTTTCCAAGTAAATCAAAGAAAATTCACAAAGAAGCAAAAGCAGGATTTATAGGAAGTCTCTAAATAAATCAAACAAATGCAAGACCAGAAGTAAATGCATAGAGCATTAAGTGAAAGTAAGGAATTAGGTTAGCAAATGGTTAAGATCAATGAACAAGAGATGTTCAAGAATGAATGTTTTGCAATCTAGTTTAGCTGATTATAAGTTGCAAGAGAGACATTTGATCATATGTTGCCAACGGCTGATCGCATTGAGGCAAACAGTAATGGAACAGCCGATTGGGGAGGCATCCAGGATTAGTTTAGGGCAGACAGGTGCTTCAGCAATGTAATCAGAGGTCGGTGTTACAACCCAACCTCTACTAAGTGATATGCTTCAAAAGTTGCAGGTCAGGCAAAAGCAGGAAAACGTTAAACAGAACTTTTATAGGCATGGCAAGAATAAATTAATAATAATAAACAAAACTGAATTGCTGTTGAATTGCTAGCAGGCTCACAAGGTCCATAACTGTAGATCCATTATCCTAACTAGACAGTATATGTACTTAAGATATAAACACCGCACTGTTTTTACTGATAAATAAAACTAGATATTAAAAATGTGTTTCATTCATTTCCAAAAACAAAATCCATATCAGCAGCTTTTATAATGTGAAAAGAGAAATTTTCTTGACAACACATATAAATTACCTTCAGCATCGGACACAGCCTTTGGAAGCTTGTTTTGTTGGGAAAGCCAAGCATTTTGGACAGAAATGATTTCAGCACTGTTTGCACACTCAGAGTATGCTTTTAGAAGTTCCCTGCACAATGGGAGTTGAAACAATGTGTAAGTATGAATATCAGAAAAGATTACAACCAATTAAAAAGAAGAAAGTCAGTTCAAATATTTCACTGAAAATGCATCCATTGTGTGTTTCATTTCTATATACTCACACCATCTGTAGGATTATCTTCAGTAAGTTCAAGCATGCAATGGTTGCACCTCTAATGGACAAGATTATGTTTTAGTAGCAGTTTATGAAAGAAATACTATTCAATTGACCATCCAAAAAAGGACCTTTTTTCTGGAAAAAAAAAATTCAGCAACACAATCACCAGGTAATCCATGCTAGCAGGGACTTGAGACGCAACAAAAGGATAGCAAACAAAATACATAAAACTCAAAGGAAGTAAGAGCACACCCATTCCAACTTTTCCACCAAAGTAGATTTAAGAGAGGCATTACAAGAATTCTACACATGTTTTCCATGTTTCTAAAGAACAATAGAAAATTAAACAGTACTTCGAGGATGTGGAACCTACAACCACATTAACCATTATAAAGTCTCCAAGCAAGATTCATCATGCCAAAGCATATTGCAGTTTAAAACACATTATTATTATTTTTACCCTTGCTGTTCTTGATAGATTTAACAATCTTTAGGCCGCATGTAGGGCAGGAAGTTAAAACATTCTGCTTACAGAAACCGCACTCTTTAAAACGCTCATGTTCTATTAACTTCAGTATTTCTTACCTTACCTTTTTTCCTTTTCCTTTTTCTTTTTCTTTTCTTTTCTTTTCTTTTTTTTTTTTTTTTGGAAAGAAGTACATCAGTCATAGAAAGTACCTGTTGAGTGACAGGAAAGCATGACCCCACTTGAACTTGCCCAGCAACAGATTTGCAGTTTCTTCTTCCCCACTGTTGGAACATAAAAGAGCAACATGAAAGCACAAAAAATAGCTTTAAATGATGCATAGCCACTATTACCCCATCAAACTTTACAGATAAATCGATATTATAAAAGTTGAGGTCAAAGAGAAACTTATGAATTGCCCAGCATTAAAAATCATGCTATGTTAGATATTGAATAAGCCCTGAAGTAATTTAAACATAAACAAATGTCCCCCACAGTCCCAATCAGATACTAAATAAGTCACTAAGATGACTGCTTTCAGCACATTTGCAACCACAGGCAATCCAACCGAACTTTTTCCATATCACCAACACAACAATTGTTTATGCCATCGTCACCAAACATCATCACTAGCTAATTACCTGTACCACTGTTTCTGGCATCACATCATACCTAGCTTCAATATTTCTTATTGCAATTTTTTCCCCCACATTTCAAGCATGCAAGTTGAATGTGAAGGATTTGTTAGATTCCTGTTTTAATAAACTGTTTCCTGATCTGAAAACAGCAAACCGTTCGCTGCACTAGAAAACCTACTCATACTTGTTTGTGATGTTATGCAATATGGCAAGTGATGCAGTACAAGAAAAGTCAAATCAATTTCTGTCATTTCATTAAAGTTCATAAATTTGTTACTAAAATGGATTTTTTGTTATTTTAGAATTTAGTCTATTCTCCACTCGGTAGTCAGTAATAACTAGGAGTTTAATATTCAGATAGGAGTTTGTTTCCTTTTTCATTAGTTCCTGTTTCGCATTATAATTAGGGGGTTTTGGTCTGCCTTTATAAGCATGTCATGTATTTTGAACAGCCATTTTGATAAAATGAAATTTAAGAAATTTCTTTCTTCTTGTGAATTTGAGAAGCAACCCATGAAGATTTCAAGGGCAAAGCCTAGTGGATTCTAGGTTCTCTATCCTTTCCATTAACTCCTTTTTATCGGTGCCACATCAATTGATATTGGTGCTGCATCAATTAATATCATAGGCTAACCTCAATTCAAACCCCAAACAACATCTTAAACCTTAACCCATAAACTTAAAGCAATGAATTAGGCTTTATGAGCTATGGTTTTATGGTTGTTTAGGTTTTAAATCGAGTCAAACTGTGACACCAATAGATGTTGGACCAATATCAATTGAGGTAGGATAGATTAAAGGAATTGAATGAAAAAGATAGAGAACCTATAATGCATTTGGCTAAACCTTTGAAATCCACAAGTGGTGCTTCTTGAATACACAAGATACTACGCTCTTAAAGCCACAAGGAGCAAAGAAATTTCATTCAGCAAAATGAAGAATACATATGTGTGCCTACATAGGCACACAGAAAAACTGTAAACTCTTAATACAAAATAGAAATCCTAAATGAAATGAGAGTAAGTAAAATATATAAGGTAAACTACAAATTGATACCACTGAATAAGAAATAGACTTAATTCTTAAATAACATAAAAATTCCAACATAGAAACAAAATGACAAATATATTGATGAACACTTCTTTCTTCATCTAGTGCATCAATGATTGGTATTACCGGTTGCCTCGATAGTTTATGTTTGTCTGAGCAGATTTATTAGAAAATTTGTCTCTTGGATGAAATGCTTTAACAATACTTCCAATTGGGGAATCAGTGAGTATTTGGTCTAGGAAAGGGGAGGCTTCACCAATGAATGAACTTTGAGGTTGACCAGTAACATGCACAGATGGGATTAATTTAGACCAATCACATGTTGACAAGTAAATTAGGTTTAGAACAAAATTAAAAGTGTGACTTGCTTTGTGGATGGCACATGGTTGAGATTTGAGCCTCCTCAAGTAATTCTAAACTCAAATCATGGTTTAGATAGCGTAAGTTTAATGTCTGATCTTTCAATAACAAGAACTATTAAACAAAAGCCCATATAGAATGTCAGTTGAATTTACAGGAGTCGCACACAATACCAATTCAATAAACTTAGTCAGAAAGTTTATAAGAGAAATGCATAAATATAAGAACCAAAAAGAATTAAACAAAAATAGTAGCATGGTAATTAATTTCATATAAGAGTGTCAGGGGAAACTTGTACCATATTATTAAAGCAGCAGATAATGCCTCTACACAGGATAGCTGACAAGGACGACCATAATTTACTGGATTTGCTGCTACCAGCCATGGTACTGCAATTTAAAACAATTTTTTTTCAATCGCATAGAGAAAACCATAGAAAGAGATATTTATTGTTTAAGGAAATTATGTATTTATCAAGGATAAATTACAGACAAACCCAAAGATGCACTATTGTCAAGAAGTGACTACAGAAAATATAAATGATATTTGTGACACAAGTGACAATAGTGCCCATGTAAATCAGATTCTTCCAACTGACATGATTTTAAAGGAATGAATTTTCATACATAAGCGAGGAGAAGAACATCGCAGCTTGACAAATGGTACATCTTCCAAACGTGCCCATGAACAATCCACGACAGCCAATCCTTTCCTCTCAATTAAGCTGTAATCTTCTCTGGAGACGCAGCAACTCCCAACAGGACTGCCAACAGAGATAAACAAGAGACGATAAGATAAATACAGAAATTCATTGCCAGGTTCTGCATAAGCCTAAAGATCTCTCTGGCGAAACACAAAAGTAGGTGCTCCCACAGTTTGCTTAGCTTTAGTTTTGGATGTCTAAAGGAAATGTGGCATCTATGGAATCCTTTGGATCCAACTCAACCTATTCCTCACAATTTGGGACTTGCCGCACCTGAACAAGCCAACCCATTTTCTCCAAGAGACATAGCGGATTAGTTGAGGCAGGAGCAAATGCCTTGTAGCTCTCATGCATGGAAACTCTCAAGCACTCTAAGGATACGAGTCAAACTCGGGACCTGGCAAATCCTGAGCCAACTCTTTATATATACATAAACAATCGCTTCTTCTACATAACTATAATCCCTCTATATATGCAGTGAAAATCAGTTATTTCAAACTCTGCCAACCCCACCAAACTCTCCATCCCCTTCCCAAAACCATCATACAGGGAAGCAAAAATTATTTATCAAATTCAATTTTCTGATATGTGTAGCAAATTGCTATAGGTGCAGTCCAAAGTTTCAAAGGATGCATTATGAAATAAATAAATGGCGATAGACGCATGCAAAAATGGATTAAAAGAAAAGCAATTCATTTCAATTACTGTATCCAAGGTCAAAAGGTTCTAATAGTTACCTCATAACAATGCCACCAAAACCACTACTTACACGCAACTCCTGCAAAATATCATTCAAAATCCAGTTAATGGCATTTGTAGTATATGTCAAAAGATTGAATCTTTTACGCATAAAAACTCAAGTGAGCATGAACCAGTTGATGCTTCAAATATATGAAAATGACCACACTTGGTGCTATCCAGTTTACACCTAACCATCTTGTTAGACAACACCCTTGAAGCAGGAACTTTGAGATTATAGAGTAGTCTTATTTACAAAAACAACCTTCCCTCAGCAATAGATAGAAAAAAGATTTTAGACGATGAACTGCAATCACTTGTTAGCTGCAACTTCCAACTCAACATCTTAGCTTGTAAATATGTATCTGACTAATGATTTCTCTTATTCAAGTGTCTGGAGTCAAATTCTTGCATGAACTGCGAACTATTTATAGTTTGGTAAAAAAGGGCAGTTTACAGACACGGATAGAGAAAGCATAGTTACTGAAATATAGAAAGAAAGACAAGATTATTGCAGCAGATACTTTCTTTCAACAAACCAAATCTTGCAAGCTTGCGCCCTGTGCACCTTTTTGCATCACACTGCCCAAAATCCTGGACAACAAAACTGAACCAATTATATTCACGCCCACAAACTGAACTGGAATATAAGAACCTAACAATAACACGCTAAAAACAAGGTCACACTTTCATTTCATTCATTTTCAACTAAAATTCAAATGGCCCTATTAGTTGAATTCATTTAAAAAGTAAATAATCTCATTAAATATATCTATTCAAGATTTCAAGTATAAATACATGCTTAAACAAAGCTATTGACATAGAGAGAGACGCACAGAAGACAAGGAAAAGTTTTGCCAAAAAAAGAAGAAGAAGAAGAAGCATACCCACATTGCGAGCTGAATTTTAGGACCTGGTGTCTCCTCTTCAGGAGCTGCAAACATTAAGAAACTTATAAACGTCAAAAAGAAATTTTCACAGGAGCAATATATCAAACAGCTGGTACAAAAAAAAAAAAAAAAAAACAGTAAGAAAAGAAGTCACAAAGTGATTGATACCTTGATCACGTGGGAGAGACTCATCTTCCCTGTCAAGTTGATTGGTCCTGCTAGATTGGCCACGATGAGAGTTGTGAGTTTTGAACCGCCTACTGGGTTTGTTGTGACCCATGATATCTTTAGAAGAAGAGAAAATCGAATTGTGACTGTGCAGATGGCTGCTTTATATATGTTGCGTATATGCTTTCTTAGTTTCTTCAGGAATCAAACCAGTGGAGCGGCTTGTTTTGGTGGCATTGGGTAATCCGGGTGGGTCGGAGAAGTATGAGTTTTCAGAAGAGATGGTTTATTCATTTAGTCCCTTGTTTTGAATACAATTATAACATAGTCATTGATGTTTGAAACTATATAACTTGATCCTTTTACGCTTGTCGGCCATTCTCTAATTGAAACCTTTTGGTTTGTCTCTAAAGCCCCACCATGTAGATTTTTATCTAAGAATTTAAATGGTCAAAGTGATCATTTTAGATTTAAAAGGAAAAAAAAACAATGAATGTTTTATTAAAACATTGCAATTCTCAATTTCAAAAAGAAGAATCAAGAATGAAGTTCAAGAAATAAATGAATCAAAACATGCAAGATTATAAGAAAAACGAGAATTGACCAACTGAAGAAATTATTGAGAAAAAATAATAAAAAATCTAAGAGAAATATCTCAATTTTCCAAGAATGAATTCTAAGCTTTTTCATCACCAACTAACAAATTCCTTGCGTATCATACCCCTTCATAATTTAATCTCTCACTTGTTATTTAAACCACACGAGCATACTTTTGTTGTTGACTTATATGAATTATCTCTTCGATTTAGTTATCCATTTTACCATTTCAAACGTAATTAATCTTACAATCTTCCTAATGCCAAAACTATTTTTAGAACTACATCAACACCGAAGACACCTTATGCTTGAGGTCAAACTATGGGAAACGTTTCTCAAGCTTAAAAACAAATTCTCATGTAACATTTAATAGAGATTCAATAGACTATTGCATAAATATTTTGGTGACAACTTGATTTCCTCTCTTAACCTTTTTTTCCATCCAAAATGCTCATTAGAACCACTAGAGTATCAAATAATATAAGTAAATGCCAATGAACTTCTATATGGTCATAAGCATGCTTAAGTTGAGAAACATAGAAGATAGGATGAATTAGAGATTGAGGAGGAAGTTGTAACTTATATGCTAATTTTTCAATCTTATCTATTATCTTGGAAGGCCCAAAATATCAAAAAGATAACTTTTGATTCTTATGAATACTAATAGATTATACGTTTCTCAGCTTCTAGTTAAGTGATACATAAATATATCGGTCATGTCTTCTTTCTCTTGTAAAATTGATTCATAACTTCTACCTCATAATATTTAGTAAGAAAAATATGAAAGGAGTAGGTAGCCATATAATAACTAAAAAAAAAAAAAAGAACTTTTGACGATCGAATAAGATGATGTATTGTACTAATATTCTATCAAACACAACCATTTAATTCAATCAATAAGAATAGATGATATCATATGATAGTGAGTATTATTAATTTTCTTATATTTAGTTTTTGGATATGCTTTTACGTAAAATGTGATGAATTAAGTATATTTTGTGGTTTAGGAGGAGATCAAGGGCAAAAGAGTAAAAGTATGTTAATGTGGTGAAATTACGTTAGTGTAAGTGCCCAAGATCCAACCTTGTTTGGATGGTTTGATTTTTTGTAATGATTGCATTTTTATATAGTAATAAAATAAGTCTTTTATTAATTCTTATCATTTATAATTCGATAGGATTAGATAGAATCTATATAATATACATTGCATTAATGATTGATCAATTGATGTGAAACAAACATTGATGTATTTACATGATATCATTAAATATCCTAAGTCATAACATTATTAAGAATAGACATTGAATATATACGGTAAAACTTATAAGTGTTATGCTCATGTTATAAGATAGCGAGTAGGAGATCTCACATCTATTGGTATGATGATGTCAAATCAAGCACTTCGGTGATTAATATTAGAGAACACTCACCATGAGAATCCATTTGATTTAGTTTATGAGAATCTCATAGAGATGGGTACAACTAGGTCTTTGACTTGAAGTCATTATGGCTATCTCATTAGAGAATTTATGTACCTTGACACTCATTTCGATGGGTTTAATTAAGAGTTGTATACGAGTGATTCTTTGGGTGTATTAAGAATCTAATAGAGATAAGTGGATGACTAAGATAGGACATGTCATTCCTTGTATGCCAAAAAAGTTATACCATTGTACTTCAATAAATGTCTACTCAAGAAATCTATAGCTATAGTAGAAGTATACCAATAGAGTATAATTAGTTTACTTAGAACTAAGACATCGGGAATCGAAGAAAACATGTATGATTGTAATCGAACAAACTATAAACTAAGTTTGAGATCACACCTGTGATAAATTGATATGAGGACCGAATTGAATGGTAACCATGCTCGTGAAAGGTAATTATGAATTAATTAATCCTTTTAGAGAATTAGGTAGTCATAATGTCTTGCTATAACTAATCTTGATTTATGTATTAAGAGATAAAAGAGTTATCTTTTATTTTTTATACATTACCAACATAATTAAGAGCCTATTAAGTCACACACATAAGTTTAAACATTCACATAGTAAAAGAGAAACAAAGATTTTGGAAAAGGTTTCTAAAAATGAAAAGTTTCTTATTTTGGAAAAAAATTCCAATTTTGGAAAGTTTGTCGTTATGGAAAAAAGTTTCCTATAATAGAAAGTTTTTTATTCTAGAAATTAGTTTCTTAATTTAAAAGTAAGTTAGCTAAAAAGAAAATTAGTTTCCTAATTTAAGTTTAAGGGTAATTTGAAAATTATTTTTTAATGTGAGCTTCCTAAAAACATCTTATTTGGATAGTTTAAATTAATTAGTAATTAATTAGGCCAAAAGAGTTTAGGCTAGTAGGCGTAATTTAAAAGCACTGTAAAATATTTTGATGGAATGATAAACTTGAGTCCTATTGGATAAAGCTTAGGGTTTACATGGATAAGGTTAGATAAAGCCATATAGGCAACATCTCCTTAATCTATTAGAAGATATTGCCGCCACCCCTTATATTAAATAAAGGAAAGAGGTGACATCGAGAGGTAAGCTAGAAACACACATATAGAAAAAACAAGAAAAGAAGATAAACGTATTTTCTCCCAAAAACCATAGTTGTCTTACCTTTCCACATCAAAGCAAATAGTTGGTGCAAAAAACCCTTAATTGATTTTTAGAGAAAAATTAACCGCACATAAGGATTGGAGCTAGCACTCTATGATTTCTTTAACTTCTCTTAAGGGTTTTTAAGTCTGTGTGGATTATCGATAGAGGTCGGACACTCGGAAAGCTCATTTCTATAAAGGCTAAATCTGCATTACAAGAGGTAATTTTTTATCCATGCTTCTATTTCATATATGTATGATTAGTTAATTCAACTGTTTGAGCTTGGGAGCCTTAGATGAAGAAAATTTTTATTTCATTTTGCACCTCCATAGGATACATGATCATTTAAATTCTACTATTGAAAGATTGATTTTTCAATAAAGAAACAAAAATTTGACATTCTTAAAGCTCCGGAATGCAAAAGAGGTCCTCTTTAAGTTTAAATTAGACATCCTATGCTTTTTATATTAGGTTTAAATGCACAAATCCATTCTATTTTGGGCTATCAAAATTGGTTGCAAAGTCAAAATAAAAATTTGAATCCCATGAGAATTTGGAATGCTAGCTAGTATTGGGACTATATCTAGAGATATAATATTAGATTAAGATGATTTAAAAACCTATAGAAAGAAGACATTCGGACCTATAAATTTTATGAATAACCTAAGTTCAAAATATGTTACCTATTGACCCTAAATCAGTTTGAAAGTTATAACACAAAACCTAGAGACCAATTCGAGTATAAATCCTAATTAATTTCTAGAGTAATCACAAATAGAACTTTTAAGTCTGTCATATTTATCTCTTAACATGTATAAATAGCCTCTAGGGCTGTACATTATAGTTACTTTTTTTTTTTTACATATAACTTAGAGTTTATACTTCAAATAACGTCCGGTTAAGTTTTCTTAATTAAGTTTAAGAGATTTCAACTTCAATTTGTAAAAAATTATGAGACACAAATTTAATCTTTAAAATTATTATTAATGATTTTAATATCTTTTATTTCTCTAAACCTAATTAATTAATTTCTAAATTTAATTAATTATGATTGTATAGATAATTATCTAAGAAGCTCATTAGTTTATTGCTTATTGTGATTGATAACTAACTAACTTTCTTAATCTATAATTGTTATAAAAAAATTAGTACAAGTGGAAAATTAGATTTTCATAATTATGATCTCAATTTTTATGACTATCTAATGGAAATAAAAAGATGAATTAAATAATTTACAAGTCCTAGATTATTGTTCGATCTTAGCTATCTTTCTAATTCGTAATGCTATTATTGATTAGACTAAGATTGTTTAATACCAAAAATCAATCAATGATAAAAATTTAATTCATAAGAGGTCCTCCGAATTGATGTATGTAGGGAAGATTATAGTTTATTCTAGGATCTAGGTAAATCTAAACTAAGTATTCAATGAAAAAATAGTAATTTAGATGTCTATAATCAATCCGTAAATTGAATATTTGAATTTCTTTTTAAACTAAAGTTTCTCTTAATTGAATTTTTCCCTCTTTAAATTTCGAATTACTTTTAATTTTGACTTTGCTAAGTAAACAAAACCTTTTTTTTCAAAGATAACAAAATCACTCTATTAGTCTCTAGGGTTCGACTTAGAGTGCTAACACTATAAATATTGGTAAAGATAATAAGTAAATTAAATTTAGTGTATTCGATCGGCATCATTATATAATAAGGATAAGTTTGTAACATCGATTGACTAATTCAATTTAATTATTTGTTTAAGGGTGATATGTAGAGGAAAACATCGAAGTGACTCTATGATAAGCAAACAATTCCTTTAACTTGCTCAAAAAGACAAGATCTATGTCGAGTAACAATGGTGTGTGGTAGTCCGTGAAGTTTGCGTACGATCTCTATTAACACTTTATCTACAGAATTAGT